ATTGAACGAGATTTTTCTTGTGTATCAATTGATGATACAGCACGTACAGGTAATGTTGATAAAGAATTCTTTTTTGGTGTATATTGAATATTATTTGTTGAATGTTCATTTGTATTAATTGATTGTAATGGTAATGTTTGTGATTTAACCATTGTTGTTGTTGTTGTTGTTGTTGATGGTTTAGAAATTGTATTAGTATTTGTTATTGTTGAAGTACGTAATGTTATATCATCATCATTTATTTTACCAACAAAATGTCTTGCTGATGGAAGACGATGTGTTCTAATAGGACCAATAAAATAATCTGTACTATTAAGCATTGTATTAACAGTATTAACATCAAATTTTTTACGTATTATTGATTTTTCTAATTCATATGTTCGATTTATTTTTGATGATGATAAATTAATTGGTTCATTTTTTATTGTTGATGATAATTGTTGTTGATTATCAAGTAAATGTATTGGTTTTAATGTACGTGCTGGAATTGGTGGTGGTGGTGGTGATGATGATGATACAAGAGATTCAATTGGTTTTGATTTATGATGAGATTTATTTATTGATGATGTTGAATCTGATTCAGTTGTACTTAGATTTGATGAATGTTCAACAATTTCAATATCATCATAATATACAATCATATCACCTGATATTTCACTTATATGACCATCATCAATACTATCTTCACGTTCAATAACCATTTGCGTAACGATATCAACTGGTGGAATACTTGAACGAGCTGTTTCATATGATTGAATTGTTGTTTGTGAACCTGATGTACTTTTCGTTGTTAGAATAGGTTGTTCTCTCTAACAAAAATAAATAAGAAATATATTGACAAATTTACTTTCAAAAAAAAATAAATCTCGATTATAAATAATTATATTGTGACGATTTTTAAAATTTCTTCTCAAGTCTTTATTTGATTGAAATTTGTCTTAGATATCTTTGATAACATTTAAAAAAAAATTTATTATCTTTACAAGAAAACTATCTGTTGAAATAAGACGCATATTGTTATTATCGTATGAACATTTTTCAAGGTTCCAGAAAACGAAGGTAATAGTATAGAAAACGTTGGTCGCTTTCTAGTAAAAAATTGTGACTCATAAAATAGTATGAAGGATTACGATGAAAGTTAATGCAATAATACGCTATTTCCGATGACTGGAATAATCGTCCTAGATAAACTATTTCTCATAAAACAAGGTCAAAAATTCAACAGCGACTGATCTGTATAAAAGGAATGAGTTGACTTTGTAAATTGTATATTAGTATAATGTTGTTAAGATTGGCAAATGTTATCCTACGAGAGTGAAATTTCCCAGTTGGTTAATTGTTTTTTCAGTCGAAACTATATTCATCATGTAGGCTCAAATGAGATCTGAATATCTTAAAAAGAATCCAGGTCCTTGGCTTATTACTACTACGATGCTGCATTTTAATGTTATTAGGAAAGTTTCCAATCTTTTTATTGTTTCTATCCTAAAATAAGAACGTCGAATCTACAGAGTATATGAGTGATGTAAAAGATACACTTTTACCATAGTTGCATCTTATGATAGAAGAAACAAAAAAACATTCGAAAATCATTTTTCCTAGTGTTCCCTGAGGGAGACTATGGTATTATAGATAGAAAAATGCAGCGTCTCAACAATAATAAACTAAGTGCCTAAATTCTTTCTACACTATTCATATATCATTGTGGTCTACATAATGTACATAGTCTTAACTCAAAAGTGAAAGTGCTTTTATCCTCGAAATGGTAATCGAGGAAAGAAGGAAATTCACCGTGGCCCGCTTCCTTCCGCCAGACGATCTACCATCTGGTCACCTCTCTCCCAGTCCTATTCATCTCGCAACGACATTGTTTTGCTTATTTTTATTTCACTTTCTGCCAGAAAAAGACAAATAATGTTTCCGTTCAAAGTTACCACGCAGCAGTAAAAAGTTGGACATTTGGAAGGGAGCTCTCTATCCTCCTCTTAATCGAGAAACCAGGTACGATTACGTTTGATTTAAAAATATGTACAAGTCTATAGATGTTAAATAAAATAAATCATTTTGTGGAGAATTTCAAACATTAGACTTTGATAAAAAAAAAAAAGATGTTCCAATCAAGGTAAGAATAAAGGCAACATTTAGAAAATACAAACAATATACTTCTGGCCTTGTACGTTATTAGAAGATTAAACAATGATTTACTCGGAAGAAATAATGTATCTATTTAATGATAATTTTATTTGAGAAATACTTTTATTGTTTACGAAGAATTTCCGAAAAAGAAAAGAAAAAAGGAAAATTCTAATTTTATTTACTATGCAATTTCAACTATTTTTTATATTAAATCTTTTCAAATAGACATACACGTTGAAGTGTTTGTGTTTCTTGTGATGTTTTCTTTGTTTTTGTTTGATTATTTAATGAATGTAATGGTGAATTTTCATTACTTGTATGTGAACTATTATATCTTGTTCGACGTTTTAATTTATCATCTGGATAATCATCTTCTTCAATATCATTTAATGTATCATCAATTTCTTCTGATGTAGCTTGTTCATTATCAGATGAATTTGAAAGATTTGGTTTTTTTTTATTCATTGGATTTGAACGTGAATATAATTTATTTGATGTTGAAGAATGATTACTAATTGGTGTATCATCAAGATTTGTTATTTGTTTATTAGAAAGTTTTTTTTCAGAATCTGATGGTGTTTTATTATGATAAAAACGTTGTACAGCTTCGACTGATGGATATTGATTATCTTTTTTTGATAAAGTTTTTGAACTATTTGATAATGATATAGATTCATTATTATCATCGGATATATCTTCATAATATGTACTTGATTCACTTGTTGTTGATTCACCATGATGTTCAAAAACACGTTCAATTGTACCACGAATAAATTTTAAATCATCATTTATTGTTGTTGGTTTATCATTATCTGTTGATATACTATCATTTTCAAGATTTAAAGTTTGTGTTTTATCTTTTTCTATGAATGTTGTACGAGGTGGTGGTGATGGTGGTACAAGAGGTACTCGTCCTCGACTTGTTTTTGGACGTACAAGTGGTTGTTCATCTTGAGATGAAGGTAATATTGAAGTAGTTTCTGGAAGAATATTTGATATTTCATATTGTGGAAATGTTATTGAACTTGTATGTGTTGATGATGAAGAAATTAATTGAGGTACAGTTGTTGTTGATTCAGTTTGAGTAATCTAAATTGACAATAAATTAATTATAGAAATTAACAATTTGAAATAATTTCTTACTGGTATATTTGTTTGTTTCATTGGTTGAATTATTGTTGTTTGATAATGTTCATTTTTATCAATAGATGTTGATGATAATGGTTGATATTCAGAATTTGATATTAATGTATTAGTTTCAGTATATGGATTTATACGTCGATATGTATTTAATGGCATAGTTCCATATGATAATGGACTATGATGATGATGTAAATGATAATGTGATTCACAAGTTGTTGTTGATGTTCGATTTAATGGACTAACTGGTGCACTACCAAGTAAATAAAGTGTATGATTAGGATATAAAGTTACTGTTGTTGTTTTATTATCATAATAAGAACCAACAGAATAATGTCGATGACGAATTTTTGATGTATATGGTGATGATGGACTTGATGATATGGATAAATTTGGATAGTGATGATTTGATGATTCCCAGTTGTACATATTTTTATTATTAGATGTATCAATATGAATTGATGAAGATTTTTCTGTTGTTGTATAAAATTTGGGTAAATTATAAGTTGGTAATGTGTTATGTTCATTTATTATTTGTTTTGATAAAAAATTATTTTCATTAGATTGTAAAATTTTTTCTTCTGATGTTGATTGATTGACATCAGTTTTGATTGGTTCTTCTGTTGACATAAGAAAGTCCAAATTTGAATCAATTTTGATTGAAGTCTAAACAACATCAACTGATGATATAAACAGATATCAAAAACAAAAAAAAAAGGAAAAAAAACATCTGGTTGATATATGATTAATACTTTAATATTTTCAAGACAACGATAAGAAAAGAAAAGAAAAAAAAAACCACTACATACGTTATCATCAGCTATGATCACTGATGTTGTATGTTGACTATTATCGGAAAAACTATTTTCATGTTCAACTTCATATAAAATATCTTCTTGAATAGGACGACGAAAACTTGCATTTAATAAATAAGTTGATGAATCTTTTAAATGATTGTGTTCATCATCATCAGCATCATAATCATCCATTAATAAATCATCTAAATTTGTTATCATTATTGATGAATTATTATTATTATTATTATTATTATTATTATTATTATTAGTTTTAAAACCAAATGCATCAACTGTTGATGAACAATGAAAATCATCGAATAATGCTGTCGAATCATCTTCATCTGTTTTATTTTCTTTTGTATATATACGTTTTGACATTTGTTTTGAATGAGTCACTTGTTCAAATTCTTTTTCATGTTTATCATCACTCACTGAACTTGATGGTTCATCATCAGTTGTATTACGTGGTGAAAATAAAAAAAATTCATCACCAACACCATTTAAATCAACTTCATGTAAAATTTCATCATTTTCTATTTCACGTAATTCAATTGATGGAGATTGATGTGATGTTTGATGAATACATGTTTCAATCGAACCATCATCATACCAATTCATATTTTCAGTAGGACGAGATTCGATTGATGGTGAATTATCATTAAATAACGATGGCAATGGATTGGAAATATTAGTAGAAATATGTGATGATGGTAAATTCTCCATGCCAACGTTGACTGAAGGGATGATGGTGGGCTTTTGTTCTTCTTTTGAAATGGCGACGATGTCGAGGTCTGTTAGAGTAGAAAAAAAAGGAAGAAGAAATGAATGTAGATAAGAAAAAAAGTCGTGCGCATTTATGTGCGCGCATGCAGCAGAATCCGTCATTCTTTTTCCTTTTTTTTGTGTTTCTGCATCTTAGTGACTCTGAACATTCACCCTATTACGGTAAACGTATTTTCCTTATATCAGGTAATGAAGAGAAAAAATGACATGCGCGCATGTATGTATTTCTGTCTATATACATCTATAGACATTTAATCACCAGAAAATGAGTTACAATTAGTAATATTAATAGTCATGACGTATCCGATGTGTTCCATGATTAAAAAAATCATTGGCATACACTTTATCTTTTGATTACTAACAGTCAAAAAAAAACAAGAAAAAAAAAACAACAATCCTGAAAATTTAAATACACCTCAATACTCTACGATGCCAATCATACAATCTAAAAAAACAAAAATTTGTTACTACTGCTACTACTACAAAAATGTCTATAATATTGACACAATACAAAGACAAAAAAAACGAGTCTTAATGTTTTATTTGTATATGGACGAAGAAAAAAAATTGACAAAAATATTTTTTTTCAGTCGTTTATGGCTGCAACTATTGAAAGCTTTACTGTCGAACATAATTTTTCTTTTTTATTCTCTTTTTCTCTTTTAACTTACTATTTGATTTACGTTCTTCATCTATTGAATGTTTTGCTTATATATATATATACACAATATATAAAAGAAATATTATTTTCAATTCAATCGTCTCAGTATGCTTTTTATTCTTCTTTTTTTTCTTTACCTTACAAGTCACGATCTTATTTCGTAAATAAATAAAAAAACAAAATAAGATTGAAAGTTTATTTTAGATTATTCAGTAAAATCTAATCAAAATTTGCTTTGAGTTTTATTCAAAGTAGTAACTCTATCACCAAAAAATAAAAATAAAACTTCTTTTTGTTAATATTCAAAAGAAATTTTTCTTCTATCGAAAAGGTAACACTCTGTTTTTTTTCTTTTAATTCTTTATATTAAGACAAGTGCTTATTTTTCTAAGCATTACGTTTTATAAATAAAGTTATATATACATGTATATATATATATATAATCATTCAATTACCTTCAACATTAGGTTCCAATGTTTCAGTATGACTTAAATCCGATAATGAACTATGTGAAGATAATATTTCATTATCTAATTTAAGTGTCGGTGTTTCATAGCCAGCTAGTGATGACGATGATGATGATATATCATCATCTACGGCTGTATAGTATGATGATGTCGTTGCTGACAAACATTGATCATTTACACTAGCATAAGATGATGAATCTGTGACTAAAAGATTTCTATCCGATGATGGTAAAATCACTGAATGATAAGATTGTCCATCGGATGAAATACTTTTTGTTGAATTCGTTCGAGAAATATTTGTTGTCATGGATTGATTTGTGTTATTATTTGTAGTGGTAATAATATGAGGATTAGATATAATAGGAGTGTGCGTCAGTGATAAAACGTCATCAGTCCGTGACGATGTAGCTGAAAATAGAAAGAGAATATTTTCTATGTTTTTATTGTGTTAGATATGTAGGGCTTTTTTTTTTGCTGTCTATTCATTTCTGTTCCGTAACCTTTTGAGTATACTTTTTTCACATATAGTGATAAAATAGGTTGACATGAGAAAAAAGAAAAATTTGCAAATATATTTTATCATAAAACATAATTGATTAACAAATATCAAGAGTTAGTGATATTAATCTTTTTTCGTTTTATTTTATAACTCAATAAATAATTTATGTCATAAATTCTGAAAAATCTTACATTTTTGAACAATTGTCATGTCACCATCAGATGATATATCGAGTGAAATATTTTGTAGGAGAGATTCATCATCGATTTCTTTGCTTGATATGGACACTTGTGACATTGTTCGAGGTTTTATGGGATGTCGAATATTTTCATTAGAAATAGAATCTGTAATTATAATCTTTGGTGTTGATGATGGAAAAGATGAATCCGTTGAGTTTATGTGTTCTTGATCTATGAAAAAGAGATAAGAAAGTAATTTTAATTAATATTACTAGCATTCCTTATTTTAAAGCGACAGACACATGCAATCAAAAGAAAAAAAAAATCTTGAAAATGAATTCTCAGGTGTATCGACATACATCTTGTTGGACCAAAAGAAAGATATGAATCAATTGATCGTGATGTATATACGTACGACCGAGACGAAGGTCATCAATAAATTAATATATATGTATGTGTAAACCTTAGAAATAAAGTAATTGAATATCCTTCATTTTTTGCTTATAACAACTGGTAATAGAATCAAATCAAAACACGAAAATGTGAAGCACAACCAAAAAAAAAATAATATCAATGTATTAACGATGAATAGAAAAATTCTTTCATATGGTTTAGTCTCAATGGTATTTACTTTTAGCTTGATGATCAATGAACAAATATACTATGATGAGAATAGAAGCGAGACAGAAAGTGAGAGAGAAAGAGACACTGTCGACAGGTGGATGGATGAATGTAAGTATGTACAAGCTTGGCACTCAAACAATAAAGAGAGAGAGAAAATAAAAGGTGGCTCGTCAAACAAATGGTAAGACTTCTTTTTTTTTTTCTTCTTTTTCTCTGGCACTTGTTCATCCCATTTCACATCTCTATTCTTTAACAATAACGAAGAGTAGAAGCTAGTCGATTGAGTAGAAGAAAAGAAAAAAAGAAAATCTTTGACTCGTCCTGTGCTCTTGTTTTTCTCTTCGGTGTATGTTGATGTTAGACCATATAAACCTGCATTGACATTTCTCTCTTTTTTTTACCACTTACTCTATTCCGTTCTGTTATTTATGAGCACATACTTCTTTTTTTTTTTTTGAAATATATACATATAGAGATCAAACTTTTTGTATATGTAGACTGTCGTTCTCTCTTGCCTGTCAGCAAGAAAATATGTTGACGCGACAAGCCTAGAAGTAATAGGTAGTGACTAGAATAACACTCGAATATAATAGAGTTGGCATTGGATCCTGGTAAACACTTTTACTTTTTTTTCGAATAACGACTAATATATATATATATATTCATTTTGATGACGATCAGATTAACATTAGGTGGTCGTTTAAGCTGTTGCCTTTTTTTTTTTTTTTTTACTCCTTTCTATATGAAAAATAGACTTGGCAATATTTTGATTCTAATCATTACATATTTACGTTTATCAATCAATCATTTAATATTGGGCATGCCATTTAACAGTATACTCAACCTCAATACATTTGCCTTGACTGATTATATACAAAATATGTATTTCTTTTATTATTGAAATATCCTTCATCAACAGACACATGCCAGAAAAAAAAGCATTAAATCATTGAGTATTCGAGTAGACAGTAGGAAGAGTACAATATATCAAACACAAAAAAAAAAGGAAAAGATATTAGTGAGTGAGTACATATGTCCTGTCAACATTACTGTAAGATATACATATATGATATGACATATAGGCGGAAAAACGACGAGTAAAAAAAGAAAATGAAGCTTTCTATCACGTAGCTCTTTTCATCTTTGAACTAACGGATGAGATCGAAACGTGATATGTCTGTCGAAATCAATTTCATTATTTGAATCAAATGTAATTAAGACTAAATTTAAGTTCATCATAATGAATAAAATTATAAAAAAAGAAAAATTCATATTTTCATGTCTAATATAAGAGAGATAAAATCACTAGATTTGACATAAAGTATTTAACATCAACTTAATCGATTTTATAAAAATTAAAATTTTACTTTCAATTAATTATATATGATATTTATAGCTATTAGTATTCAATTCAATTATTTATTATCACGTATTATTTATTATTCTTTGACAAATTTTATCTCATTAGTTTCTGTATAATTTAAGAACATTAATATTCCATTAAAATGTTCAAATTAAACAATCAATAAATTCATTTCTTTTAATATATTAAGAATAAAAATAAAATTTAATCAGTCAACAAACATACTTTAAAATAAATCTAAATCTAATCTTAAATACAATTTCAATTATGACAAAAAAAAAATATTATTCAATATATTCATATGAGAATAATTTGTCTTATCAAAATATTTTCTTTTTAGTCTATAATGAATAAACAAAAGCTAAAAACAAAACATACTGATGTAAATATTATATCAATGTAAAATCTATCTAATCTATCTGATCATTATATAATACTGTCAAAATAGAAAGTTTACACCTTAAAAATAATTTACATTTAAGACTTTTATCTTATTGTTTGACATTCATATTAAGATTATAATCATATTGCACTTACGTATTTTTGAATATCTTGGTAAAGGTTTTGGTGGTTTTATTGAATAATCATTGATATTATTTTTAGTAAATATTTTTGGTTTATACCATGTTGATGATTGAATAACACGTTGTAATCCTGATGCATATGTTGATGTTTCATGGGAATTGGTCGAACGTTGACTATCAATAATAATATTTCCATTTGTATCATTAGTTAATGTTGTTGAATTACGTCTTGATGGCAACTGTTCTGACCGTGATTGACTTGGTAATCGATGTCGATGTGTTGTATCATTAGATAAATAAGTTGAATTATTTGAAGATGATATTAATAAATTAGAGGTATTATTAACATATTGTTTTGTATGAAGTACTTGTCCATATGATTTTGTTTTTCGTAGTTCATTAATAGATGTATAATCATGATTGTACCAATCAGGTAGAAGTAATTTATTGAATGAAGCACGTAAACGTTCTTCATATGTTAATGTTTGTTGTTGATGATGATGATGACTTTTAAATTTATATACCTCATCAATAGCATTAAAAACGCTTTGTAAATACAATTTTTCTTCTATATGAGTCATTTACCTTTTTTTTTTTAAAAATAGTTGTTGTTAATCAAATAAATTCATTGAACATAAATGATGATAGTAGTCTTTAAGAAAGACTTACTCAATGAAATCAAAAATAAAGAACAAGAAATGAATGAAATGAACCACTGTAATGCACATTTGCTATTTTCGTTGATATGAATGAATGAATGAATAGATGTGTGTGTGTGTGTGCAGCAAGCAAAAACATTCATATCATTGTCTGGTTTGAAAGCATATATTTATGCGGAAGTTTTTCTTCCTTTTTTTTTGTGAATACGAATGCGAATATATATATATATATATATGACGGACAGAAGGTTGATGTGTTCAATTATAGAACAACATAAAGGATGGCAAAAAAAAAAGAGAAAGACAATTGCCAATAGTAGAAAGAGAGATTGGTTATGTTTATTCTAACCAGTCGTCTTGTCAGGTTATTCACATAATCATCTGTTTGTCTCGTTTAAACTATATATTGAATGGGTGAAAAGAAAATCAAGAAGAAGACATACTCATTTTATACTTATGTTAGAAGACAGTCATCAGATCTATAATCCTACCATACAATAAATGTGTAAAAGAAAAAGTGCAAATCACAATTAAAGAAGAGAGAGAGAGAGAGAGAGAGAGAGAGCAAAAGAAAAGAAATCGATCACATCATTGCGTTCGTCACTGATGAACACAGCAGGAAAGAAGAAGAAGAAGAAAAAAAATCAAAAGATGTTGAATAAAAGTAATATAAGTACTACTTCGAACAACAATAAAAAATCATGATATCTCTGAACTATCATCAAATAGCAAACCGACACAAAACTATATTAACCTGTCATCTCTGGAAATAGATGAATGTAATTGCTGATTTAAAAAAGAAAATGTATACAATGAATGACAGAAAAAAAAGAGACTGTCGGTGTTCCCTCTATCCTTGTCTAACATGATAATTCGTTGTTGATCATGTAAAAAAAAAATTGATTTCTTTATCAAAAGTAAATCAAATAATTTATGATTTTCATTTGACATTTTTGTCTTGTTTCAATGCAATTAATCAATGAAAAAAAAATTATATTCATATAAATAAATATATATATAATGAAGTAATTCGATGACATAAAAATACAACATTTATTATTTGTCCTTCTCATCCTCATTTAGTTCAATGATATCTGTATGTAATCGTTGACTATCAGAACAATCTGTGATCATCACTGTAGGCAATGTGATAGTAGTTAATTTTGTACTACATTCAGACAGTCGATCATCAGCAATACTCATAGTTGCCGAGCAATTTTCTTGTTCTTTAAGACGAGTATATTGTCTACCATGATATAATTTTCGTTTGTTTGTACAATTTAGTGCATAACAATTTGCTATTGGACGTGTGTCAGTATCACTTGGTGCTTCTTCATAAGATTCATCTTTAATAGGTGATGTTGTAATAATTTCTTGATTATTATTATTATTATTATTATTATTATTTTTTAAATCAATATTTAATGGATTATAAGTTTTTAAATAATATTCTAATAAACTAGGATTCGTTGTATTTGATTGTAAATTAATATTAAATACTGTTTGTGATGTTGTTTGTTCATTATTATTTAATATAAAATCACAATTTGAAAAAAGACTATTAGAACGATAAAGTAATGGTGTTGGTAGATATGTTGGACGAAATGATCCATATTGATTTGATGATATAACAAATGCTCGACAAATTTTTTCATTTGATATTGATGGTGAATCATATTGAATACGTAAACGTTTGAAATTTGTTATAAATCGAATAATAATACGACTTAACATATAGATTATGATAAATATTATCCAAAAAAGAGCAATCTATACCAAAAAAAAAAAGAAAGAAAGACAAAAAAATCAAGACACAAGAATATTCAATTAAATATATTTACATATAGAAAATTAGAAACGGATGAATGATCAATTAGTTATGATTTTGCAAACGAAAAAAAAAATGACAACAAAAAAAACTCAAGAAGTTTTTATTCAATTTGCCTCAAAAAATATTCTCAAAAAAAAAAAAAAAGTAAAAGAGCAAAGACTTTAAATATAAGAATTATTAATGGTGTCAGAGAGTAGTAAAAGATAGAAAAATTATTTGCAAAATAAAAATAGATACTGATGTTCTTTCTTGCATGTGAATATAATTATATCTGATTGCTACAAAATAAAAATAAAAAATCTATTCAATCTTATTATCTTTATGAAATAAATCCTCTTTTGAATGATTTAGAATAACAAAGAAAGACATGAAACCTTCTTAAGATTTGTCAGTTTTGAAGACGTTTATCTGATATATTCCATATCTTGAAATAGAAATATTTATTTAATTTTACATGATTGATGTCTTTTTATATATTTTTTTTTAATCAATTATCAAAACAATTGATTATATATCGTTAATAAGCATAGACCGTCAAGGTTTGTCATTGAATAAATGAAAAAAAAAAGAGATTCGTTTAATATTTTTCATCTCCCAAGGTAATTATTTATCTCAATATTCTGACATTTCTTAATATTTTATCTTAATATTTTCTTCTTTCTTTTTTGATTGATTAATCAAAACAAAAAATAAAACTAAAAATAAAAATAAAAGAAATAACAACTTACAAGTGAAAATATAAAAAATGATCTTTGAACAATAGTAAATCGATTCATTATCCAAAGATTTTTGAATAATATTGTATCTGACGATAGATGATTATTTGATGTTTTGAAATTATTTTCATTGATATTTTGTGACAAAGTAAGATTATACATGGATGACAACTCAGCATGAGACATTAGTTAATCGACATTTATTACTTAGTTAATAACATCTAAAAAAATATATTAAATGAAATGCATGCATGCATCAAAGACCAAACAGCAAGCATACGATATAGAAACTGACTATAAAAGAAAAAAGAAAGATGAAGATAATATTTTGAAGAAGATTATTATATGAATATTAGTAGGTGTTGTTTTTTTTCTTTTCAACTCTAAGATGAAAAGATTTCTTTTTTCTTTTATGTTTTCATTTTTTTTTTTTTTTTTATTATAGACAATGTGATTGTGAACAACTGACCTTTGTTTAGAAAATTATTTCCAATATAACATAAACATCGGTCAAGCAGAAATAAAATGACATGTAATTTATTATATAAAAATAGTTACTACATATGGATTAATAGAGAAAAACCTCAGCTGTTGTCACATACATGTCAATTGACATGTTCGCCCTTCGTATTGTTTATATTCAATCATATTTAGCAGACTCCCTATTGGCATTCTTTACATATATTGTTCACAAGCGCTTGCGTGCACACACACACACACACACACATACATTTGGACTCGTTCAACAGAAAGAATTAAGGAAAATGTGATGTCTATAACAAAGCTTTTCTGTTTTTTATTGACTTAAGTCGATGTTTATGTAGTTTTGTGGCATAGATGTCAAAAATTCAACATATAGAAAATCTTTTATCTTACCCCCTGTTTTAATATATGATATTATTAATAAAAATTATTCCATTTAGAAGTTATTCTAACAAAAATTGGTTCGATTATGGAAATGAGACTAATAGTAGTATACGACCAACCGGAAATACCATCGTTTGCATTCTTTCTGTCTATCTTTGGCTCGTTCTCCAATTATTCGTTTGTTGATGTCTGCTGTTAACACTTGCCTTGTATGCATCTATCACTCATGAAAATCTTTTTTTTTCCTTTTTCTTTCATGCTAATCATATTCAGTTATTTGAAGAGATCACTCAGATTTTCTTCTTCTTCTTCTTCTTCTGTTCTTCTCTCTTTTTTTTCTCATTCTTATATAACAATTACAAGCGCTAAGTCCTATATAAAAAACAATACAAATCATTTTCCTTCTTCTTTTATTTTTGCTTTATATTTTTTGATAATCAATATTGAAACTTCTATGTCGGATAATTTGAATAGAATATCGTAATCCATCAAGAGCATATAATGTTATATTTAACCATATTAAACGATTTGGTATCATATCTGAGCCAGTAGCACCACGTGCATATTTTAAAAACATTATTCCACCAATAATATAAACAAATAGAATAGAAATTAATAGAATAAGAAAAATAGCACCACCACTTATAGATCCAGAATCAGGTGAATAATGGCATTTATCAGGACAACAACATCGAGATTGAACATAAATACTAAATGTTTGTGCATCGTCTTGATGACCATTCACTGTATCTTCATCAGAATCACTACATGTTAAAAAAACAGCAAGAAGTCTATCAACTGTTTGATAAATAAGTAAATTCACGTTGTCATGATGTTCAAATTGAACCTCACTTTGTTTAGCAATGACAGTTGACATACCCGTCTGTGTGCTAGCTATATATATATATTATAACATAAAATATATTAGAATGAAATAACAATAAATTAATTCAACTTACTAGAACATGCTGCAGCATCTTTACAATTACCACCATCAGATTTTGAATAAGAAAAACATCCATTCCAACTTAATGTAGATTTTGTAGGACTCGAATTTGGTATATTATCATATTTTGGTCCTTTGCCATTTTCATAACCTAAAGTACGAATATCTAATTTTTGTCCACTTCCAACATCATAAACACATGAAGATTCACTAGCGATTGTTTGAATAATAAGCATAAATAAATAATAAATAAATAAATTCAATATAGGAACAAACATTTTAACAATGAATAATAATACTAAAACGAATAATAAAAAACATGCAATCGTATAATTTCTTAAAAATAACAATAAATATGATTATGTAGAATACAAGCATTATACAAAAAAAAAACAAAATATCACGATCAATAAATTTTATTTAATAGAAAAATTTTGTTTTTTCTAAACATTTTCATATGTATTTTTTCTTGTGATTTTTGATAGAATAAATCTTATACCTTGAATTGTATCATGTCCTATTTGTAACCATAATGTTCGATTTGGTATAAGATTAATACCTTGTTCATGTTTTACAAGTCGAAGAAAAAGAATACTAATGATAAGATAAGTTGCAATAATACAAAGTAAAACTATTATAAAAACAGCTCCGCCTGTTAAATGACCTGATGGCTTATCTGGAATATATGTACATTTACCCGGACAAGCACATTCACTTTCAATATTAAATAGAAATGAGTTGTCAGTAATTTTATGAGCTTGAAACGATTCCGTTGTTTTACAGAGAAGAAAAACACGTAGTGTTGTATCATCTCCATCTGTATAGATTATACTTATTACACCAACATTGTACGTAAAGACACGATCTGTCTGACGAGCAATTAATCTTTCTTGTTTTGACGTTAGATCAACTTAATTAAAATAATAAAACAACCAGAAAAACAAAGATCTTTACAATTGATATAAAAAGAAAAACCTTACTAACGCATGCAGCAGCATTTTGACAAGTATCTTTTGTTGAATAAGCAAAACAACCATTGAATGAATATGCAATAGTATGTAAACCTGTGTCAGGTATATTATTATATTTTGGTCGATCTTTATAACCGAGTGTTTTCAAATCTAATATACCATCGGGTGTTGAATATTCACAATCATCTGCTTTAATTGTATAGATATTTAAAATAATAGATATTAAAATGCTTGAGACTATCATGATTACATGCAAAAGAATTCGGGGTAACCACTTTTCGTCCTTGTTTTTTTTTACGGACATCGGTCAGAGTAGTTCGATCCGAACTCCAGTTTCTTCGAAACAGTCCGGATGTTCGGAATGAAAAGTCCGGAAGATCGGAATGAAAAAGGCCGGATGTTCGGAATGAAAGTCGTCCAGGTGTTCGTAACAGAAAATACAGGATGTTCGTAACATAAAATGACGGCTGTTCGGAATAAAAAATGACCGATGTTCGGAATGTAGAATGCTGAATATTTGGAATCAAAACTACGGATGTGCGTAAGAGTGAATGACTGATGTTCGTAAGAAAATACTCCGGTTGTTCGTAAGAGAAAAGAATTGGTTTTTTTATAACAGTTTATTTTCTTTTATTTCACAGTATAGTCTTTAACAAAAGACAAAGACAACAAAAATTTATACAAGTGAGAGAATAAGTAACTTTTATAACAGAAAAAAATGTAATGTTTAATATTTTTTTGCAGCATGTCTTATTTTTTTCTTTTTTGGAATTTGTTTCATATTGTCATCATCTGTTTCATCTTCTTTTCGTTTTCTTTCACTCGATGAACTGCTGGCTGAAGATTTATGAGAATTATTAACAAACTGAACTCTACACTATTTTAAAAAACTCTAACTGAATGTACATACGAGAAGAGGTCGCTACACTCAGCGACTTAAAATATACTATATGAATAAATTGTTTTCTGTGTTAAAAAACATACACCAAAATTCACTCAGAACATCCGTCATTTTATGTTCCGAACATCCAGTATTTTTTCGTTCCGAACACCGGTCACTTTTTGTTCCGAACATCCGTCATTTTATGTTTCGAGCATCCTGTATTTTTTCGTTCCGAACATCTGGACGGTTTTCATTGCGAACATCCGGAAAAACGATTTTATGTTGTATATCCGATTTCGAACATCCGGTTATTCGACCGGATGTTCGGAAGAGCAAGGACGAAAAAAGACACACCCAAGAATTCTAACTCTATACTATATATCTTTTATGAAAGATAAGCATGTAAAAAAAAAACGAACTTGATATGTCACTTTTTACGTGAAGTTTGATAAACAATATATTTTCTTATAGTTTTAGTTGACGTCCATAGTCCATAGACATGATAAAATGTAAAGAAAAAATCGGTCATTTAGAAGTTTAATTAAAAATTAAATTAGATTTTTTGAGAAAATGTCAATTCATTTAAATATTAATCTTATTTAAATATGCAAAAAATTTTCATAATAAACAATTCTTTTCTGATTTGTCATTCATATTATTCCATGTTTCGTTTGTTTATTTAAGCTAAAACAAGTTAAATTTACGATTAATTGCTTGCATGTTTAGTTTTTTCTATATAATTATTTCTATGCGTGTTCATCATTTTATCTAAGCAAAATTCCATTTATTTTTTTTTTTCTGTAATAATTGACAAGTACATAGCCTCTTTTTTTTTCTTTTGCTCAATCATTTTCTGGATGTTACACAAACTATTCATCAACGATTATCGAGTTTACATTGCATTTTATAAAATTCAAAAATAATTTACAAAAAACAAAAAACCGAATATTATCATACGAGAATAACAAAAGAAGGAAACTTTATATTTCAATATGGATTAGTAATGTTTCAACAATTTAGTCTCTTCAATCGTTCGATCACACTATTAAATGTCTGTATCTCTTAAAACAAGAAATATACTAAATATATGTATATATTTGATCACTGTCTTCTCTTGTTGAATTTCTTCGTATCAAATGCATGACATAAGAATATTTTGTTTACGTTTGACTTTGTCGACGATAGTACATAAATGTTTCTTTTTTTTTCGTTTCTAATGATGATGAACGAGTAACAAAACTAAAGACAAGGAAGGAAGGAAGGAAACGATTACTAACTTTGACTCGGTCATATGTACACATATATACAAGATATAGGTGGGTGTATAATGAATGTTCACTGAAACATTGAATTCAACAGTAACAAACGAAAAAAACATGGAATTCGAAAATTCTATTGAAGAATCTGGCAATGATGATGATGATGATGATGGTGATGAAGAGTTTCCACCATTACCATCAGATATTGATATATTATCACATACAAATACTCCTGATCCATATGATAATAGACATCGTACTGTTGAATTCTTTTATTGTCCTTCACCACCATTACCTTCCCCACCACCACCACCGCCACCTCCGCCACCAACATCATCAACAATGGCACGAATATATGCTAATGCTCGTACATTAACTTCAATTCAAAATCCAAATAGTATAAATCAACCGACAATATCATTTGCTACACAACAGAAGAAGAAAGCTCGAGCACCAGTTGCTGGTCTTCTTCAAAGTGTTTATGTTAATATGCCTATATCACCATCATTACCATCAAAATCTTTAAATATACCGAACGAAGTTACATATGCTACATTAATGAATACAACGTCAATGGCACTATCAATTTCTTCTGATTTAATAACAAATCATGTTGAATATCAACAAATTCATATAAAAAAAGAAACAGATAAAATAAATCATAATCCAATTTATGAAAATATTAAATCTCGTCGACCACCACCACTACCATATTATTCACAACGAATTTCACCATTATCTGTAACTCCTCTTGATATTGATAAAACATTATCATATTCAAAAATATTCAATAATGATATTATACCAACATCATCTGAACATACTTATATTAATTTAGAATATCATGATGATAAACCACCAATTATTCCAACACGTACAACTAAACAAATTCCAATTATTGTTCAAATATCACCATCACCACCTATTATACCACCAAGAAATGAACCAAAAGATGATATTCATAGTTCATCATCAAATGTTAGAACATATCCTATTGAAAAAGAACAAGATGAAGGAGATACAAATATTCTTGAAACAAGTTCAAATGCTAGTAGTGTTCAAGTAAATTCATTTGTTATTACTATAAAAAAAAAAACGAAAAATAGATGAGTTTATTCATTTCATGTTTTTTTTGTTTTAGACAGTAAAGGAACTTGAAGTAAATATGGCTCCATGTTGTGATGATAAAAGTGATCTATATCGTACAAAAATGTCTATAAATACAACAGAAAATATTCCATCATTTTTAAATGCACGTCAACGACGATTATTACATAGTACACGACGACGTCGTTTACGTGGTTCTTTAGCTTTTCGTGGTTCAATTGCTTTACGTAGTAACACACGAACATCTATTAATCATAATACAAATCGTCAACAATATCCACGTTCAAATTCGAATATTGCAGTTCGTCATCCAATGGTTACAGATGATCGATGGCGACGTACATTACGTAAACGTCGACGACAACGTGCTGTACAAATGAGATTAGATGGAAATATCTTGCATCAACAAATGAAATCAACAAGACCTATATCTGATCATACATATAATGAAATAAAACAACCAATTTTATCAAATAATAAAATACGTACTAATGGTCATCATGGATCAGCAGGTGGTGTACTCGAACGTGCTATGCAATTTAATGGAGCATTAAGAGATCGAGTTTTTTCATGGTATCGAGGAGCTAATCATAATAATCGTGATCATCAACAACAAGAACAAGAAACAACACCACCAGTTTGTTCAACTTCAGAAAATGGAGAGTCAGATCAAAAAGTAAATTATCGAATTCAATTTCTTACTACTATCCATTTTGAAATGTAATATGTTCCATTATTTTTTCGAATAGCTTTTGATAGGAATATTATAGAGACCTGTGGTTTTCATCAATTAAATATTCTGAAGCTATTTTCCTTTCGATTCAGACTTTTAATAAGACAAATCAATATGAAAAATTGTTCTCTTACGATCTACATAAGGTTGATATTCATAAATCGTTTGGGTCGGAAGTTATAAGACTTTTCCTGAGACCTCCAATTTCAGCCAATTGATCTGTGATCACTTGAAAAAGCAGCTAAGTAGAGATAGTTAATCATGCTGAGTCAAATAATGATATTTATTTTTAGGTTCGAAATAATCTGACTTTGTTATTTCAATATTTCTAAAACTCCACAATCAGCTTTCATGTAACGAAGGAGTCGACACTTTCGAAGTACTGAGATAACAACAGTGTCGGATTAGTTTGAATCTAAAAACAAATATTATCATTCAACTCAGCATCGTGAACTGTTTTCTGTCTAGCTGCTTTTTTTGGAGTTATCACAGATCAATTGGCTGAAATCGGGAAGTTTTAGGAAAAGTCTTATAACTCTCGAACCAAGCAATCTATGAGTGTCAGCCTTACGTAGATCGCAAGAGAACAATTTTTTCTATCGATTTGTCTTATGAAAAGTCTAAATCGAAAGGAAAATAGTTTCAGAGAATATTCATCAAAAGCTTACCTGATTGGTCAAATGTTGACGAGTCAAATTTCGATGGTTTCGGATCTTCTCTCTCGAATGATGAAAAAAACCATAGATCCCTACAATGTTCCTATCAAAAGTTATTCAAACAATAGTGAAATAGACAGTGATTTTTCTGTATAACTATGTTCAATATTTCTCTTTTATATTTTTAATATTTTTAATAAATTAATTGTTTAGGGTACAACAACAAATGAAGATGATGAAGAAGAATTTTTTACTCATGATACATTTGAAGATTTTCTTCTGCGACGTCGTCCTAAATCATCTGCTTCAACTACAGTTAGTGGTACTAGTACTATTGTTTCACAAGTTGAATCTATTTCTCAACGATTACCAGTTCGAAAACCACCAAATCAAAAAGTTCATCTTCCTCCTCCTCCTCCACCACCACCTCCACCTCCACCACCACCTTTACCACCAACTCCACCACCTGCTCGCCGTTTTCCTGGTTTAGCATTAAGTTTAGATAAAACTGATGTTGATTTTATTCATAATATTCTTCAACGTACACGTGGTGAACAACGTGTATGGAATCGAATAACAGCACTTAAAGAAGCTTATATACGAGCAACAAGTAAAAAAAAAGATTTACCAAAAAAAACAAAAATAAATATAAATCAAATGGATGAAAAGAAAAAAAAGAAATCAACAATGAAACATTCATTAGCAGCAACAAAAATTCGTGCTGAACTTGAAAAATATGATGAATTACCAGCTAGTTCAGCAACAATTCTTGATGATGATTATTATTATGATGAAACATGTTCAGTAAATGATCATCATAAAATAAATCATAATCAACATAATCATTCAATACCTCCATTACCTCAAACACCTTCAACAACAAATCGAATTGTAAATTTTGTTGCATCAATAAAACGACGTGCTCAAAATAATGTTCAACAATTACAAAAAAATCTTCATGATATTCGTTCACGAGTAAATATTGAAGCTATGACAATTCCTCCAAATCAAATTAATATAAAACGTCATACATCAATAGCATCACGACAAAGACAAACAATAAAAGTAAATTCTATATAATCTATTTTTGGAATTCTATATAGATTCAACTCTTCGAACCCACTCGCAGATATAATCGGATTGTAGGACTCCATTCTATTTATCTTCAAAAATAATATTTTTTGATGAAACATGATCTAAAATGTGTATTGAAGTATAGAGATATAGAAATTTGAACCCGACCACAGACATGACAGACATAATTGCGAGATTACAGTTAGTATGATAGTTGTTCTTTACTTCTCATAACAATGTATTGCGATTAATATCTTTCATCATTGACATGCATTAAGACTAGATAGGAATTTATGAAACAAAACATATATTGATTAATCCCTTGTTTTACATGTTAATCTCTGTGGAATTATACTAATAACTTTTAATTCTAGGATACATCAAATACACCTCGAATACATCGATCACGAGTAGAAACAACATTAAATCAAAATACTTTAGTTCGTCGTACAAATAGCCATCATTCACCAACTTCAACAGAACGTTCTAATGTTCATCATCGACGTCAATTAAATCGTACTCAATCTAATGCATCACAATTACCACAACAATTACAAATTCATCATCATCGTCATCGTTTAACAAATGATAAAATTTTAGGTGGTATTGCTGATCGATCACCTAGCTTAACAACTCGACCTCCACCAATTGAACGACATTCATCACGTCAAACACAAAATGGAATGACACTTCGTCAACAACGTTCGAAAAACTCTAGTTGAAAACTCGTTCTTTTTTTTTTTTTATTTCAATATTTTGTGCCTAGTGTGTTAATAAAGAAAGTCCTTCCTAATATAAAATATATTTGCATTTGATCTTATATTGTTGATATACAAAAGAACTTATCATAGAATTATATTGAATGTACTAGATATAATACTATGATTGTAAGCAATAGTGACTGATGTGAAGAATAATACAACAAAAGAAGCTATACTGATATTGTTGAACGAACCTAATGGTTATCGATTAAAATGGATAGTATGTTAGCAGACAAGTAAATAACAGGCATATATAATTGATAAACGATTATACGCTCTACAAGATATTATTTTCGATCAATCGAGTGCGATCTATATTAATAAAGTTTGTAAGAACCGACTTATTAAAAGAATTTTGGATCTAGCAAAAGTCAAAATTTTGAAGAATTGTCTTAAACATCTTTTAGAAACTGAAACGATCGCGCTGACGATGGTAATCAAGCAACATAATTGCAAAACATTATCGAACTTGTATGGTCCTATTGAAATTTATGTCAACAGAAACAAAAATATTTTATATAGTTGAGTTCCCTAGTAATTGAATCACAATATAGACTTCAAAAAAAAAATAGCACAACTTACAGTTAAAGAATAGCTGACACAGAAGAAAATGTGTTAATGCTTTTTCGTTAAAATACACAAATCTCTGTTGTTTTGGACAGTGCAATATGTATATCACTGATATGTATCACAATCGCCTTTAGCGTTAGATAAACAGCTCTAACGACGATAAATCTCTTATCTGCTGTTCCATAACCAGTGGAAATATAATAACTATCCGATTGACTCAACATTAGAATATGACATTTGATATTAAACTTAATAGATTTGTAATTGAAAGATATATGAATCGAGTACATATAATCAAATTCATCTATAAAAGCTAAAATATTAATTTTCATTTTGCATAAAAATCGATGAAATAAAAAGCCCAAAAAATAATGTTGATTTCAGTCATTTAAGATTTTTTCCAGCTTAAAACCCTGATAACTAAGCGTATTTTGATGTAAAAAAAAACTTTTACATTACTTTGTTAATTAAACCAAATAGAAATTCGAAATATTTATAGCGAACTAATGTCATTAAAACTTGTTAAGATAAAATTTATGAGTCAAAATACTATTCTTGTCATTATGCTGAATTTTTTTTTCTCTTTTTAATATTGAATTAAAGCAAAAATCTAAAATAATTTTTCTTTTGTTAATATCTGTTGAATGAAGATAGATTCAATCAAAAAGTGAATTGATGCTGAAGTCTAAAAACATGTCTGAACTAACCTTAACACAAACAAAAATCGATTTGTTTCACATTCTATTCGATATTTCAAATGATTTTTTTTTCTTTAACTTATTTAGTTACAGAATTATTCGATTTCTTCTTGTCGATCATAATATAACGTTGTTTACTTTGATAATATAAGACAGAATCTTCTATCATTAGAGAAAAATTCTCATTTTATAGAATAGACTTAACGTTTCTCAGTAAATTATTTATTACCAATAAATTCTTTTAGATCAATATAGTAAAAACAAAATTCCATAACTAGAGAAGAAAGTACCCAAAGTGTCTGATTTCTGTTTGATTCATTCATATCTCATTCGATAGAATACATACAGATAAGAAAAAGTCTCAAAGGATTTGAGCGTATAGCATACTCGTGAGAAGTTACTAACCTTTTTATTGAGTGCCAGGCATTCCGAAAAAAAAATCTAGAATAAAGAATTTTGAACTGAAACTCCGTCTATAAATAATAGATTTAATCATCATTAGATAATTCTGACAATTTCAATAAAAACAAACATTTCTTTTCTTTGAAGTATTCAATTTCCAAATCGTGGAAGGGCACTATAAAATTCACTCTACCTGAAAATTAATTATCTCGAGAAAAATATGTTTGTTTTCGTTGAAATTTTCAAGACTATCTAATAACAATAAAAAATATTGATAGACGAAAGTTCCAATCAGCATGTCTAATTCTCAATAAAATGATCGTAATTTATCAGCAGTAGACTATGTACTCGAACCATTTTAGACTTTTTTCTTATCTTCATATATTTTATCGAATGAGATGTGAATAAGGCAAAACGGAACTGAATACCTCAAGTACTTTCTTCATAAGTATGCGCACATTATTTATACAATATGACTTCTTTGAAGTATTCTCCTTGAAAAATATGTAATCACATATAAGACAAAAGAAAGTCCTTGATAGTTTTTTCTCAGAGTATTTCCCTTGAACAAGTAACATTAATTGTATATATTTTTTTTGCTTAATATATAATTTGTTTTTATGCTATAAGATTCATAAATTTTTTTTAGAAAAAAAATTTAGAAAAAAAGAACCTATTTATTATTTAGATTGTCGATATTTCATTATAATGTCATAATTTCATTTTTTGATAATCATGTAATTAAAATTATAGTCAATGATTATAATTCAATAATTGAAAAATCTTAAAAATATCTCTACTGGTAGAAAACAAAAGCTTTCTGTGATTACAGAGGGAATGTTACACCTCTTCGGGGCGGATTACTAATACAGATCTCATATAAATATTCATTAAGAATTTTCAATTATTTATAAATGTAACCTTTCTTCAATCATGTTCGAAATAAAATAATATTTAAAATAGATTTCATTGGCATTTATATTCTAGACAAGTCGTTCTCTATTAACACGAACTGATAGAAATTATTGATGGTAGTCTTTCAACTATTTTTTAAATATTATCTGTTTCTATTTTTATTCAAATAAAATATTACAACACTTATTCAATCAAAATTTGGTATATAAAAAAAATTCTTTTTTCTTTTGTTAATTTATTGAATTGATCTAAATTTAAACAAAAGATTACCAATTCATTTGGAATGAAAATTTTTAATTATACAAATTTCTTATAGAATTTGATGAAATATTAACTAATTATTTAACACATATATCAATGAAGAGATCGATAATATTATATTCTGAAAGTCTGTTTAATTATAAAAATAAAGAAAGTATGTTCAATTAAATGATCGCTACAGATTACAAAAGAATCTTATTCATTATTAAGCAAGTAATTATGTTTGATCTTAGAGTTCAGAATATTATTTTTAGAGTGCAAAGAACGTGAGAAATCTGATTTAGCTTTCTCGTTTGTTTTTTTTTCAGTCCAATTTTCCAGTGCTTATGTAGATCGGAAAACAAATCTTGAATAATATAAGCATTATTATTTTCATCATATTGAAACATATTTCTCTTGTTATTTTATCATTTACATTTTGTCAAATTTTGATTAAGATTCAGTTTCTTTTTTCATTTATCAAAAATAAAAAAGAATCAGGACTTGTAAAACTAATAAACTATTCTAGACTTTTGTATTACTCATCAAATAAACATTGTTTCGCGCGGTCGAAAAGTGATTTAACATCTAGAGAAGTCCTCTCTTGTATTGTTTTTTTTTTTTTATTTCAGATTAAGCAGGCCTTGTATGGTTTAGTGTAAATATAGATATATTGAAAATGTATTAATTTGTTGCTCATCAATTCAATTATTCAATGTTGTTGTTTTTTATAGTATCGAAACTTCACATTTCATAACTGATTCATCCTTTGATTGATAATCAAGAATCATTGTCGTGATGCACTGAACAGATGTAAAAAAAGAAAAAAGTCTTTTCGAGAGTTTTACTAATGATTTGATGACATGATAATTCGAAATTAATAAGATTTGGATATTACCAATATTCAAATTATAGCAAAATATTCATATTCAATATTTTGTTTTTTTGTTTTCTACGATGACAAGCCATTAGAATAATCAATGAGAGCTACACACAAAAATATGGTTCATTAATGAGTTTATTTGTCTATGTAAATGTATTGATGTCGAGGGAAAATACCGTAAAAAAAAAAAGAATCTATTAAAATAATCCCTGGATTATCTATTCGAAAGACTAAGAACAAAGCTATTTCAGTTTTCTATCAAAGAGATTTTTATATAAATCATTGATTAAATCCCTATTTTCTTAAACATCAAAAAAAAAAAAACCAAAATCATTGCAATAATAATGATATTGACATGTCATATGTCATTTTTACTATTATACATATATGTAGTTGATATTTTTTTCTCTAAGATTCTAGTCCTTTCTTTTATTCATCATAGGATATATTTGTTAATATTCTTCTACATTGTAGAAAAGTTTCTATATTATGATTGTTAGATATGATGAATAAGAATTAACATATATAGTTTTTTTTTTCATGAGAAATCATTACTTATACTCTAAGAGATTGTTCAGGATAGTCGAAAAGAGATGTCAATCAGTGGATTGTGAAGAAAGAAAAAAGAAAAAGAAAAGGACCAATGTTTTAACTGTTATATAGTTGTCATGTTAGTTCTCTCAGAAATTCATAGAATAGCAGTATGCACGCTGCTGCTCTTCAAGATAATCTCATGTTGATGTACGTATGTATTTGTGCATGTGTTCCTTAGTGTACGATATTATGAAAAAAAAAAAGAAAGAAATAAGTTATGTCATGTACATAGAAATATTAGTTATTGATGATGAAATATGCGTGTAAAATTAGATGGATGACATAGAATAAGAAGTAGCTGCGATTCTGCTTTTCTCTTTAGTTGTTGGTGAAGAAGAAGATGATGATGTTGTTGCTAGAGGGTGTTCTACTAGTGTACTAGACGGAAGAGATAGGAAATAACAACGAATCAACATACAGCCATTCCGTTATTGCTATAAGCGTGCACGACAACTCTTCTTCTTGCCGTTAGTTCAAATCTCTTTTTTTTTCTCTGCTCACAATATTCTTGAAGCCTTATTACTCATATCTTGATTCTCTTCTCACGCCCTTTTCTTTTTCTCTTTCTCTCTCTCTCTATTTCGAGCTAAAGAACCGAACATACACCCGTTATAAATTGCTATCAATCGATACATCATATTCTTTTTTTTTTGATCATGTACATCTTCTTTGTTTTTTTGTGTTTTATGAATATGTAAATGTCAGCGTCTTATTATTTTCAAGATTCGATTTAGTAAATGTAGAAAAATTTAAGAAAATATATAAAATATTGCTAATATAGAAAAAAACTATTCTTTCTCACGCGTTCTGTTAACACATATTGTAGAATGAAAAACTAGAGGTAACTTAGAGAAAAAAAAGCACGGCCTCGTACTTTGATAACTTTTCTTTTTTTTTTTTTTTTTTGCTTTATTGTATAGGACATGTGTCATCAACAATGAAAGAAAAAAAAAGGCACACAATCATATTCCAAACATAGTTATCTTATTGAAGCCAAAATATTTGATTAAAAAAAATGTCACAATATAGAATCAGAAAGACAAACAGCAAATACACCAGACATAAATAAACAATGATAAAGTAAAGAGTTCGGGCTTTATAGAGGTCTAAGAAAGACAAAGAATTTTTTTTTTTTGTCAGTCATTGCAGACTTTTAAGTATATGTCAATGAAAAGAGAACGATAAACTATAAAAAAAAAATGAGAAAAGAACGAGCACTAAAGACAATAACATTATCGCTATAAAGTGTGTTGGAAAATGTTTTTGGCATTGCAAACTATTTTAGATGAATTAATCTTTTTTGTTATATATGGCGTCGTCATCATCCCCGAATAAATCACCAATAATCAATACAAAACTTCAAAATAATTATTTTTTTTATGGTACTCACCCATTAAAAGTACCAAATACACTTATTCATTCTAATTCAACAGCGAGTTTATCTACATCAAATACTACAGTTCAAAATTCAACTCATTTATCACTTGATTTAGCAAATAGTCATCATAATAATTTTCGTCATGGATATTCATCAACAACAGATTTAACAACAACAAAATCATTACATAATCTAGCAAATTCTCGCAAAGACGATGATGATAATAATGAGGTAAAAAAAACAAACAAAAAAAAAAAAAAGAAGTTTATATATATATGAAATCCTTATTGTCATGCTTTTTTCGATCATTTATTATCACATATATATGTCATTGTCCAAATAATATCATTATCCGTATGAACATCAACATAAGGTGTTGTTGTTGATTCATATGTATTTGATGAACTAACAAGTTTAGTAAAATTTAATTCTTGAGTTTTATTTATATTCCATCGAAGTCCATTAGTTTGTACATGTGCTGATTGACCAATTGGTAATAAACTACATATATTACCATTATATTTTGATTGAATATGAATTCTATTTAATTTATTAGCATGTAATAAAAAAACAATGTCATGATCATTTATTAAATATATTTGTAAATTAGGATAATTATTATTAAGTATATATAATGTATGTATTATACCTATTGTATGATCAAATCGACCACCTAATGAACAAAAAACTAAAAGATTATTTAATGTTGAATGTTTTTCCATCATAATATCAACACATTTTGTAAAATCTGTTGCATTTTGATTTTGAGTACTAATAAAATTAATAGTTGATATTGATTTATAATATTCATATGTTTGTTGAGTAATTGAATCAAAATCACCACTAATATAATCTGGTAAGAAATTTTCATTTATTTCATTTGAATAAATTTTAAGTATATTTGAACCACCATCAACACAACCCCGAATAAGAGCTTTATTCCATATATCTTTTTTTAATAAATTTCGAAGACTATCCAATGAATAATTAAGTATCATAATACCATAATTTAATGAAGTATTTGATTCAAAAAATGAATATGGATTATAATCTTGACGAAGCATTTTCTCGTTTTTCTTGTGTTATATGAAAAAATAATATAGAATAAATATAATACTTGTTATCACGTAAACATTCATTACATTTTTGTCTCTAAGTCAATGAGTTTGTTTTTTTTTTATTCATTGATTATTATGGTCAATTAATTATGCATAGAGATATATATATATATAGAAAAGAACAATAAAATAGTCTATTGGGTCATGCAAAGTGTGTTTTAGTGAAGTCTACACACAAAATAAAAAGCATCTGTAATGTTGTATGCTTTATATCATCCATTTTTATTTTCTAATGGAGAATGTGAGAGAAGGAGGCACAGGAAAGAAAGGAAAAAAAATAATAATCATATCAAGAAAAAAAGCATGACTTCGCTTTTGTTTTGTGAATATACAACTACCGTCTATCGTATGTTAGGAAATAGGAGACATCTGTATATATTAAAATGATCGACATAGATATAATGAATGAGAATAAGAATAAATTAATCAAGCAATAATACTGACAGAAAAAAAAAGGAATTTCTATTTCATAATCTAATCATATTATTTTATAAAATAAAAAATTGATTACATACTAAATTCCAATCGAAGTAATATAATATTAGAAAAAAAAAAGATTATTTCCTAAAAAAACAAACAGCCAATATAGTTGATCTTGAAACTATTAAAAAAGATTACTTAGAATTTAAGATTAATCTGTATTATAATACAATGAATTCAAACTTCAATAAATACAATGAATATGTTTTTTTTTTCTTTTAAGATAAAATTAGATCTTATTTTTTTTATCTATTTATTTTAGGTATTCGAAGATGCATTAGAAAGCCTTGATGATGATAATGATAATCCTCAAAAAACATATTTACATAAGTACGTTGAGATTCCGAACATATTTATCATATTCTCATGTTTCAAAATTTCTAGTAGACCATCATTATCAAAAACACATGAAGAATCTACAAATGATCTAACTCAATCATTAGTTGAATGTCAACAAATCATTCAACTTATATTAGAAAATCGTCTTAATGAAGCACTTAAAAAAACTAAAGAACAGTATGTATATATATATATATATATATATATATATTATCAATCTAAATTATTATAAAATATATATATATTCTTTCTTCAATAGAGAAAATCGTTCTTTATATCATAGTTTATTGCATAGTTCAATAAGTTTTATGCAAGCTGGAATGACATTTAATCAAGTAAAAGAAAATTAATATTATTTTTTTTATAGATATTATTCATTTACTAATATTTAGGATGATATTGAAGCAACAATTCAAGCATTACGTCACACAACAAATATGTCAAAAAAATATGAACCATATCGACCATGGATAACATTTAGTTTAACATCAAAATCTGTCATGACTGAAGGTAAGTTATCCAAAAAACGAACTATTTAATTATTTTTTATTGATGATTTAATTATTATACGATTAAATTCATTTAATTTTATTTGTTCTAATGGTATAATTGGCGTTAAACGAAGAAGTTCTTCAATTTGTTGATCATATTTTTTCTTTGATCGATTTCGATTTGAAATTTTAAACATATTTTCATTAAAATTTTCAGCTGAATTTTTTATTTCTTTTGAAATTAAAATAATTTTTGAACGTCGTTGATAATTATAAAGAAATAATATAATTATTGTACAACATGCAATAAATATTGTACCAAATGATATACATATCCATAATTTTCGATTACAATAATCAATAGGAAAATGATTCATCAAATATGATCATCATTGATAAATAGAATAAGAATTATCTAATTTAAGATAAAAATTTATAATCATGATGTTTTTCTAGAATTTAATAATAAATTCGCGCATTCATTTTTCTTTTTGCTTAATCGTAGATGAATTACATGCAAAATTAGTTTATGCTGAAGCATTACTTATTCGTGCATTATTAACATTTATTCAAGATCAAGGATTATTTAGTTTTATAAGTGGCGCGTTAAAAATTAAAGAATGTCACGATTTATTTGCGTAAGTTTTTTTTATACAAAACAAAATTTTATTTTCAAAATTAATTCTAATTAATAGAAAATTAGCAAAAAATAATGATCCGTCCAGATTTTCATCAACTTTATCACATGAACATTTTGATAGTGGAGTTCGAATGGGTAATGGTGCATTTAATTTGGTATTAAAAAAAATTAAAATTTATTTAGTAAAATTTCTATTATAATATTAATATTTAGATGATTGCTAATCTACCACAACGTATTATTCGTTATCTCGAATTTGCTGGTTTTTCTGGAGATAAAGTAAAAAAATTATTGTATGTGTAAAGATTTGAATAGAAGAAATTTTTTTTCTAGGATTTTGGCCTTAATGAACTTGAGAAAAGTGCAATGAGTAAAGGTTTACGAGCACCATTATCAGCTTTATTACTTCTTGGTTATCATACATATGCTGCACATATATTTGGTAATTTCAGAAAAAATAAAAATACAGGAATTATTCTTTATTACAATAAAAAACTTTTCTTTTTTTTTTTTTTAGGAAATAGTGATGGTGATCTTGAAAAAGCAAATATGGTAATTGAACATTATTTAAAAAAAAATTCAACTGTAAGTTAAACTTTTTTTCTTTTTTTTTATTCCATCGATATAATCAACTATTTCAGTAAAAATAATCATTTCATTTGGTATGTGTAGAAATTATATATATATAGAGAGAGAGAAAACCAAGGGATGCTTTAGAATGTAAATCTGTTGGAATACGTCAATGCTTTTATTTTATTTATCTATAGATAAAATAAGTTTTTAAATAGATATTCTTCTTATTTTTTGTTGTTGTTCTTGATTAATTGGACACGAGTTAATATTATTTCGTATTTCAGTTTGACATTCTTGATTGATAATATTAGTTGAAAATTGAGCATTTGACAAATGAATAGGAAAATAAAATGGAATTGGTATAGGTAATGGAATAAAATTTGGTAGAATACATGTATAATTTGTTGATATTGGAAATAGAGTTGATGATGTTGTTCTTAAAGGTAATGATGAAGGTAGTTGTTGAACAGAAGGAATAGTAACAAATGGATATTGAAAATGATTAAGATTTGTAGAAGTAGGTGGAAGGAAACGAGAAGATGATGATGATAAAGGAGATAATCTTCGAGAAATTTCATTCGTATTTATCTTTGTTATTCTTGATGATGAATGTGGATATGATGATAAAATTTTTCGTTGATGATTATGTTCGTTTTCACTTATTATCGATTTTGATATCTTGTCTGATATTGAACAATTTGTAGACTAAAAAAAACTGAGGTTTATCTTTATAAAAAACATAATTCTTTTTGTTTTACTCTAATTTTAATTGTTTGATAAGTTTTTAATAATTTTTTATCCTAAAAATTAAATTGTTTTTCAAATAGAATAAAAATTAAAAAAAAAAAAACAAATTCGAACTTTATTTTTTTTAAATGAAGCACGACGATATTGATTAAAACAAATTTCACTACATAATCTTTTTGAACCATCATTATCATTATATAATGTAAAAGATTTACTACCTAATTTTTGACACCAAATACATATTGATACTAAATAATAATCAATAGGAAAAAAGAAAATTGTTCGTTTTTTCTTCTAAATTAAAATATTTTTACATTCTTGTTCTTGATTGACAAATTTATTTGTTATAGAATTATTTGTTGAATTAATTTTGAATTTTTTTATTTGATTATAATCATAAAAGAAATCTTTTACCTGAATTTCATTCGGTTCATTTTTAATTTCTATATTTGTTTTCATTATTTAAAACAGTTTGATCATAGAATTTCTTGTTTGTCTATCTGTTAAAGCAGTAATACAATGAATGATAGAAGAAGGAAAAAAAAAGGTCAAAATAGAATTAGATTTCTTCTAGCATTCGATTTCAATATCTGATTTCTTCTTTATATTTGCAATGTTGTCCTATCGAATTACTATATTCATTCATTTGATGATGAAGTCCAGTAATGATTATTGGTTAGGCTCTTGTTGATGCTTTTGCTTATCCTTTATATCTTATATATATATATATATATATATATATACGATCCCTTTTTTTCTATTGAATTACACTCATATTACCTTTTGATTTTTTACACTTTAGTAGATCAATTTCGTTATATATGTTTTTATTATTGAAAGATGAACACTTTTTGTTATAAGAAAAGAAACAGAAAGAAGAAAATCATATTAGATATCATTTGATATATCTCATGTTCAATAGTTACAATTATCTTGTTTGTTTTTTTTTGAGAAAAAAGAGCATTGTTGATTATATTTTGTGAGAAAATCATTGAGGCCGTGCAAGTTTTTTTTTCTTTTTATACAATGATGAGTGATCATATTGCAAGTATACAAAGCTCAAATCAATTCTGAAATTCGAGAGATTTAATGGCAGGTTTCTATTGGTGTAATCGATAATAATTGTTTGAATACGGATCTATTTTGTTGTATTGTTAAGGTTCTTTTTTTTTCTTGAATGTTTTGTTCGGAGTTAGTGATAAAAACGATTTAAAAATGTTTTTCTTATTTTAGTCTTATATGTTTCTTGTTTTTCGAGCAAGACTTCAAACACTTCAGTGTCGACTCAATGAAGTAATTGAATTAATAAATAAATTTCAACGAATATGAATTTATTGTTTCTTTCTATTAAGGCAATTCGAACATATGAATATGCAATTCGCTGTCAAAGTGATTGGAAAAACCTTCATCATGTAAGAAATTTTATATAATAATTTATTTAGAATAATTGATTTGGATGTTTATAGATACCCTATTGGGAAATACTTTGGTGTCATGCGTAAGTTCTATTATAATTTATTTTAAATATATATATATTTTTTCTGATTTCATACAGATTTCAACGACAATGGAAAGAAGCAGTTAATATGGCTCAAATTCTTCTTCAAGAAAATAATTGGAGTAAAGCAACATCTTGTTATCTTTTAGCAACATTTCAATTTGAAGATAATAATGCTTTTGCAACAGATGAAATAATTCAATTATATAAGTAAAAAAAAAAGCAACAACTTCATATTTGAATTTGATTTAGTATAAATATTATATTCATATTAGACGTGTACCAGAATTAAAAATTCGTCTGGCAGGTAAATCAATTCCATTAGAAAAATATGCAATAAAACAATGTGAACATTTTCTTGAACAAAAATGGCTTTTCTTACCATCATTGGTAAATAAGGACATCTAGAATTACTTTTAAATGATAAATATTTTTTCTTATATAAATTTTCCAAAAAAAAAAACGATAAAAAATAAAAAATTTAATTTCAATTAATAAACTTTTTTTTCTAGGAATTAGTTTATCTTATGAACGGTTTTTATATACTTGCACATGATTCTAACAAATTACACGAAACTCTTAATATTGTTAATAATGCATTAAATAATCTTGAACTTGATCATCGAGGTAATTTATTTAATTAATATTCTATAAAATAATTGTCTTTTACCAAATAGATGATCGATTCTATGCTGATAGTTATGGTTCCGGTCTTTTACTTCGTGGTGTTCTTCTTCATTTTCTTCGTCGATATGATGAAGCTCATCAAGATTTTGATGAAATAATTAATATGTTTGTTTTGTTTTTCATTGTATGAAGCAAATAAACAAATTCAAAAAAATCTTTTGTTTTTAAGGTCAAAACAATTCGATGAAAAATCTTTATTACCACCGAATGCAGTATTCGAAAAAGCAATGATCTATCTTAGTTTAAAACAAAAACAAAAAGCAAATGAATATTTACAAAAATCACTGTAAGAAGTTGTTTTTTGTTTTTGGATCATAAGTTATTTTTCTTTTTATCTTATTAGAAATGATTATAAAGATTATCAACTTGAGTCTCGTCTTCACTTTCGTATAAATGCAGCCATGCAGACAGTGAAAAAAAAATAGATAATGATTTACATAAAAAACCTATTTTTATAAATAAAAAAAGTAATGACATATTTTTGTGATATTTGATTTTTCAGTGTGGTTTGTTTTTTTTTTCGTGATCATTTGTGTTTTTTTCTGGTCATCCTGTCCGGTGCGTGAAATGTTTATTATAATAAAGATCTATATTTTATTCTTTCTAGTTTTTTTTTATACCGATTCTTTTAGGTATAATAATATTGAATATTTGAATTTCGAAGAATATGAAAATGTTGTATTGGAATCATGTAGTTTGATTTAAACATAGTAGAGTTTTATAATTAATTGTTAGTGACATTCAATGTTATAGGAGCATTTTTGAGGTTGATAAATAAAGAAGATAATACGACTCTAATGAAAATTCATTTCAAAAATGATGATAAAGAAACGATTGGATGTTTCGAGTAAATATAGTTGTGGTTTAAAATATATTGATATGATGACAAAGTTCATTTTTGCTTATCGATTCGCTTGTTTTGTTCAATTACGTATTGAAAATATAATTGAATGCAAATTGATCGATGCGTCTGTCATTGTAGAAATATTTGTCAAAGATTAAATTAGGAATAGAGAATTGTATTTTTGATACAGGTATTTTATATTTACACAAGGCTTATATTTGAACACGACTTATCGGACATGTTTCATATGGATAATGTGTATTTCATATGAAGATAAAGTGGAATTCAAATGATATTAGTACGTTCTATACGAACAGTTAATGGATAATCAGAATGATTTAAAGTATTTATTCACCTAATAAAATGAAGTTGATAAGTGGGATTTTTTCCATTTGAGAAATTCTCATCTATTTATAGCTCTATAAAGAATTCAATACTCTTTGTTATATTATATATGTATGAACAAAAATATAATCGAATATCATATTTAAATTAAATAACAGATATGAGATACAGTAAAAAAAAATGTATGTATCAAATATCATCTTGGAATTGAATACGTTCAACGGTACTTAGATATGAATATCCTTTTTTCTTTTTTGAAGTATATTTATCGTTTGTTTCATAAAATTAATGAGTTACTTTTAAATTTTTAGATTTTTATTTATTTATTTAATGTGTCTATTTGTTTTTCAATCATTGATTGACAAATGTTAGCTTAAGATAACAATCAAATATTTAGTTCCTTTTTTTTGAAAACTAGAAAAAAAAGCTTTAGTTATGATATTTAATCAAGGAATTTATTATTTATTAACGTTACTTAAATGTTCAAATGTTGATTTAATCTATTTGACATGGTTATGGACATTATTTAAACCTTTATGTTTTTTATTGTTAACATTATTTCTATTACCAGCAGCTATACTTATATTTATATATAGTTCATCATTATTTTGTTTGATGTATAAACATTGGAATCGGTTAAAAGTAGGTAAGTTTTTCTATTGATAAATAATTAAATAATGTTTGTTTGCTTTCTAATTATTTAAAAGAGCGCATATTCAGATGATGTTTGGTATGGTGCATTGAAAACATTGGCTATCTTATGGGAATTACAAGGAAGTATATGGCATGGTAAGATAGAATCTAAGATAATTAGACGATGCCAATTGATCACAATGCTGAAAATTAAAATTAGCAAAAAAAATTTTCTTAACATTATGAGGAAATAACTCAAAGATGTTGAGAAAATAACTAACAATATTTTCAAGAACAAGAAACATTAGATATAAGTATACATACAAATGTTTAGTGAACTATTCTAATTGAGCATGAAGTCTTACATGAGAGTAAGTAGTAGTAGTTACTTTAAGAATTTCCTACAATCTATCATTTTGCCTTATTTTGGAGTTTCTGTCTGTTGCGATTTTTATTTCTTCGTAACATTTCGATAAATTCAAAATGTGAATGTCAACATTTAATTACCATTCACTAGTGAGATCATCTGCGAATCTATTTCATGTTCAGTAAATTTTCATTTTTCATATACCACCGTCATCCTCACGTGGTACTGTATGTGATTGAATCAAATGTCTGCAAATCAGAGTTGTAATCGGTTCAGTCTAGAGAACTGTAACCCACAGGTAGGGTACGAGTGTGAAAAGTAACGATTTATGAACACACAAACTTCATTTTTAACAGTACAATTCATAAAAAATTTGAAAAAATTTGTTTTCAATGTTGCTTTTTAATAGCGATATCCTTGATTATTTAGCTGATTGGTTATTCTGTTAAACTATCAGTGATGCGTTATAGTCATGCAATCCACGGGTACGAATAGTTTTATCTGTGCAATACTCTAGTCCGATCTAGTGATTTAGCAGAGAGCGGGCTAGATCTGACGCCGCTCTACCACTAGAAGAAAGAAAAACATAATAGTTACCAGCATTAATACTGTATTACATGGATTACAATCAAGATCATAGGGCACTGCCCTACTGTTCACGATCTCCTGATTACGCCAGTACTTCAGTGCGACCGGGCCAGACCGGTTGGAAAATATTTTATAGACATATGCCAATTTTCTCTGATAAAACTTGTTGAGAGCAAGTTTACTTTCCCCCTATTAAAATAATTTAACAGTATTGTTTCAAAAATTATCAATTTTATTTCTTTAATCGAAGTATATTTCATTTTTTAAGAAGCACAATCAAAACTGTGTTACTTGGGTTAAACTTATGTCATATATATATATATGTTTTAGTAAAGGTTAAATTTATGTTTGGATCATTATTCGAAGAAAAATGTTAGATTTATCTGAAAATGTTTAGCGAGAAGAATTCAAGACTTGAAGTTTAACAATCGATTGTTGGATAAATGACTCATGATATTTCTTTCTGGAGATTTGTAAAAATCTAAGTACGTCGAACTAGACTAGTTCAAAAATTCTTGACAGGTTATAACTCTGTTGCAAATTGAGGCTTATTGAAAGTAAAATAAGAACCACACTTTTGTCAAACATGCAACCAATTCTACATTGTGACTATTTGTCGCTTTCCAGATAAGATAGTAATGAAGTAATAAGGTCAATTATATGAGATAAATAAAATCATTTGAATTATTATTCGAAATCTTGATTAATCATTTGTATGTTATTTGTTTTTATCTTGATTTATAGGTTATGAAGTCGAAGGATTAGAACATATTCCTACAAAAGGACCCGTTCTTATTGTTTTTTATCATGGAGCATTACCAATTGATTTCTATTATTTATTTGCTAAAGTTTGGCTTTATCGTAATCGACGTGTACATGTTGTTGCTGATAAATTTGTATTTAAAATACCTGGTATAATATTTATTTCTTTAGTAAAATATATTTGAAAATAGATTATTTTCTTAAGGTCTTGGTACTCTTCTTGAAGCATTAAAAATTGAACCAGCAACATTCGGAATATGCAAATCAACGCTTGAAGAAGGACATGTACTTGCTATTTCACCTGGTAATTTGAAATATTTCGAAAAAATTATCATGAATATTATTTCTTTTTTGTTTGAGGTGGTGTTCGTGAAGCTCTTTTCGGTGATCATAATTATCATTTAATATGGAAAGAACGACGAGGTTTTGCAAAAATTGCAATTGAATCTAAAACTGTAAAATAGAAAACAAAATTGTTTTCTTTTATTTTGAGTTTATTTAAAATAAAAATTTTCTTTTTCCTTTTTAGACAATCATTCCAATGTTTACAAAAAATTGTCGAGAAGCTGTACGTGCTTTGACATTTGGTCGCCGTATGTTATTCTTGTAATTAAAATAAAATATTTCGATTATCTTCTTATTAGGTCTTTTAAGATATATCTATGAAAAAACTCGATTACCAATTGTTCCAATCTATGGAATGTTTCCAGTTAAAATGATGTACTAAAATATTAATAGAAGTTTATATATGAATATCTATTTATTTATTTAGTACTTATCTTGGAGAACCTATTCCATATGATCCTAATGTAACGACAGAAATTCTTGCTAGTCAAGTAAATATTAATTTATCAAAAATAAAGAAATATTTTTAAATGAATTTGTTTGTTTCTTTTGTTTTTTTTTTGAGGTGAAAAAAGAAATTGAAAAATTGATAGAAATTCATCAACGACGACCGGGTAGTATAACACAAGCTATTCTCGATCGATTTAATTGTTTTTTTAATGAAACGAATGAAAAGAAAAAATGAGTAAATCGAACAAAACATTAATAAAAAGTTTGTTTTTTTGATGATTTTTTTTCTTTTCTATGCTTGTATGAAGCAAGGTAACAGTACTGGTGACGAAGTTTTCTTGTTTGTTTGTTTTTGTTTTTGTTATTTTTGTTGGGTTAATCAAGCAACTTTCAACATCTTTTCGTTTCTTCTTGTGCTTGAATAATCTTCGGTTCGAGATGAAAACATGATAGTTCATTTATTTTGTTCTTTACTCATTTAACAAAATAAAAATAAAAAATGTCACCAACATATTGTTTTCTTTTTATTTATTAGTTTTGAATTGAAAGAAACACATTAATTATTCTATCAAACTGTATAGTTTTCAGATAAAAAAAAAAGAAACTTAATCAAATTCGAACAGTAATCATTTTATAACTCAATACATATAAGATGTTCTTTTTTTTTTTTACATATGATCCTTATGAAAAGAAAGTAGTGTTTGTATTTTTAATTTTTAGGAAGTTCTATTATTATTTAATTATTATTTACAAAGAATGAATATCAATAGTTAAATTTGGATGAACAAAGGGTATAAGCCATAGTGTAATGAAATAGGAAATAAATGTTGCTGTAAAATAAATATAAAAGAATAAACGATCAATGACATGAGCAATAGCAAGCCATTGAAGACGAAAATAAAATGTACTATTTGTATGTGTTGAAATATTATTTCGTTCACAAATTTTTTTAAGTAATAAATCTATTAAATTTTGATCAAAAGCTTTATATTGATCTTTTTGTTGATTATGATAATAAATAATATTTTCAATTAATTTACTTGAACTATTTTCATCCGATTCAATAAGACATAATATTGGTTTTTTTTTTGCATTATTTTTATGTTTTGATGAAGTTATCATTGAATGTTTATTATGAGAATTTTTTGATAATTTTCTTTGTTCTAATTTTTCTATCCATAAAGAATTATTATTTGTTGTTATTGTTGAATGTGAACGAGTTGAATATGATGAATTCAATTGTTCATTTGTATATAATAATACTTGTTGTAAAAGTAAATTTTCAATAATATTTTCATAATTTATATTAAGTTCATTTTGATTTGTTGATAATGGTAATGAATTTGGTTCACATGAAAGATCATAGAATGTTGTTGATTTTTCCTAAAAAAAAAAAAACGATATTTTTATTTCTTCATCATATATGTTACTTTTTATCTAACAATACTTCTAACTAATAAATTAATCATTTATGAATATGAAAACATTTTTTGTATTTGAACATTTTATTCAACAACATGGAATACAAACAAAAAAAAAATTTCATTTCTCTCATTTCTTCTTTTTTTTTCATTCGATTTCAATTCATTTGAATAAAACTGAATGATTTTCTCAATATACGAAAAACAAACAAATTTTCAAATCTATAAAAATTTTTATTTAAACATACGAATTAATAAAATCTATATGAATTTTAGTTAATTCTAGGTAATACTGGTATTTGTGGACGAATTGGTATTATTATATCGTCTTCTGAAATACTTTTATCTACACAAAGTGAAATTGCTCGACCAGCAAAAATAGCTGATAATATACTAATTATAAAATTTATTAATGAAATTGTTAATTGTGTACTAGCAAGACCATATGAAACTGATTCAAATGTTGTACGATTACTTGATTTATCCATTCCATTAGTTCGATAAAATGAAATAATAAATGTAAAATAAACAATTAAATAAATAGCAAATAATGCTGATACAACACTCATTGTAAAAAATCCAAAAATTGATGTATAAGTTCCTCGAAAACCAGCTAATATACCAATCATACCAGTTAAAAATGTAAAAATACCAAATAGATTAGATGGATATGTCCATGGCCACCAATGATTATAATAATTTGTTATATTATAAAGATCAATAGTTATATTATTACTTAAATCTACATTTGTCGCACCATTATAGATACGTGGAAATTCAAGAAATTGTGTTAACATACCAATAATGACTAAGAAAAATCCGAAAACAAGACCATATGAACCCCAATTATCCCATGATGAATTTCGAGTTATTCTTACATTTGCATACATTTCAACTTTATCAATATAACGTTGTTTTCTTTTTTGGTTTTTTTTTTTTGTTTAACGGAAGACGCCCAGACGATGACAAACATAATTATGAAGGCATTCTTTAATTGACATTGAATAAACGCTTCACTGGTTTTTTTTTTCTTTACACATCAAAACAAGAACCCTATTTGTTTATCTATTTTACTCTCTCTCTCTCGTATAACTTTTTGTATATTCAAAGTGCATTCTCTTACTTTTTGATCAAGTACATTTTTAATTTTATCATTCATACGAAGAATAGATGATACTTTTGTAAGCGCAAATTTAATTAACCATTGTGGTGCACGATGTTTTTTACTTGTACACATTGCTGCTTGTTGATAAAGATTAGCGACAATTACAGCCATTATTACAGATATTGACTAATAAAAAAAATTTTTAATTTATATATTTCTATTTTGTATATTATAACTTACTGTTAAACTCATAACAATTGTTAAATAGATTTCTAAGAATAAAAATAAACAAACAAAATATAGGTTTATATTTTAATATGACATATATGTATTTACCTATTATAGGTACTGTATCCGATGTAGCAGGAACTTTTTCAGCAACCATAAGCATAAAAACAGAAAATGCAACAAAACAAGTTAGACCAAGAGTAACTTTTTCACCTGATGATGTTGGTAACCTACAAAATAAATTTTAATCAAGTATTTTTATTGAATTAAAAAAAGATAAAATAAAGCAAAATTTTTTTACTTACCAAAAAGACATGCAAGTCAAACATGAAAGCATGGCACATGGTATTATCACATTGAATATATAATACAATGGACGACGACGAAAATGAACACCATAAACTAACTCTCCATATGTTTTATTATTCTTTGTTCTAGAATAAAAATAAATTTTGAACATAATCATCATTCAATATCTATTGAATCTTATATTAACTATACAAGTATCAAAAGTTATACTTTTTTTAAATAGAAAGAAAAAATTGATCGGATCAAACTTCTTTTATTTTTGGAGGTTTTTTTAGTCTCATTTTTACAACGAATGCGTCAGAATAAATGAGTGTCTTAGTATTTTTTTTCAATATCTCTGTCAATTTTAATAATTATAGACTATGTTTCGTTTTAAAAGACTCAACATTCAATTCTCTACAAATGTGGCTATTAACAACTTTCAAGCACAAAATTCAGTTTTCTTGTATTAATACGTTCTAACGTAGATATATGGAAGAATGAAACTAGTTGTTTTACAGACCTTGAAAAACTCTATTGTATAGGTACATTCACGAGTTTTTACAACAGATCTCTATCTCACACACTCAGCTTTACTTTTTTTTTTAGATTTTCACCAAAAAAACCGTTTTTTTTTGCGCCGCAGTATTACATATTCTAGACAAATCTATGTAATTCAGCTGTAAATTCTTTTTTCTAAAGTAAAATTTGTTTTTATTTAAAAGCTACTGAGGAACAATATCCTTGTCTTTCGGCTACCTAGCAGCAAATTCAATAGCCCGACGCAGAGTTTTTGTACTCAATTGCTTGAACTTTCCATACATACTAACTAACCATATACTAGACGCAAAAGCAGGTGTATGTCACAACGTAGTCAACATGCTATCTGACAGGTGATCCGAGATCAACAACCGTTAATGATTTGTCCAGTGTCATTCCATGGCTGATGGTACTGATGTTTGAACACACAGTGCCTTATGGATACGTGTTGAACAGTGCAGTCACTCATCCAAGATGATCAAAGCTACTAAGTCATGCTATAGGAGTCTATTCGATTTCGAACAAACGCTTCTTTCTCTCGATGAGATTGGAGAAAAAAAGATTCAATATAGCAGATTTGGACCTGTTGTCCAAACACTAGATTTCCTATCAAGATTTTAGGTTGATACTTTCTTTCCTATGTGTGATTAAATAAAGCACACTTGATTACATCTGAGATGGTACTTTGAGACACTTGAACAGTGTTTTATTACTGGGAAGAAAGCGCAAATCAATTTGTAGATTTGTGCTTGAAACTTATTAATGAAACACTTTTCGCAGCGTTTGTGTAATCACTTTTTTTTGCTTTTTCCTCTATGGTACACATTTATAGAGAATTGAACGCTGAATTTTTTAAGACGAAACTGAGTCTGTGACTATTAAAATTGATAGAAATATTGAAAAAATCTTGAGAGGTTTATTTGTTCTGATGTACCCTTGCTATATTAATAATAACTAAACGATTGAAAGAATTCCATATTTGCTAATATTCATTCAACTGAAAGAAAATGATTCTAATTAGATTATGAAAACTTCGTATTTCTCTAAATTTGTGTGCTGCAAACAAATCGACTACCGATACTCGGTCCGACTCGACAATTAATGAAGTCATGACCTTTCAAAATACTTTTACTTTTTCAAGCTGGTAATTTATATAAAAGCATAGAAGTGAAAACCTGACTTTTTCATATGAAATAGAAGTTTGAAACTGTTCTGTAACTGTAAAAATATCTGCTGGATGTCGATTAGCTCGAATCGCGTATCGAATACATCTATCCAAGGTTCCGTTCGCTTTGGGTCTAAGTATACAAAAAAATTGTCGATGCGAATCCGATCACGAAAAATTATATTCATGCAAGATTTTACTCTAAAACAAGAAACTTTTCAAATATTTACCGCCATACAAGACCTTCTTTAATATCAAGCATAGCCCAGCCGCCATTTCGTATACTTTCCGATTGTAGGTGATTATTTGTATTTGAAACAAGTACATAATTAATCGATGATATATCATATATCCATGATGCAAATTTTAGACCACATATTTGTTGATCAAATGGAAAATATTGAATATTTACTTTACATGTTGTACGTAATTTCATTAAAACAGGAAAAACAACTTCACCTGTATGATAAACCATTACATAAGGTCCTAAGAAATAAAATATTAAAAATAAACAAACAATTCGAAATAAATCTTAGATAATACCATTGACAACACCTTGTGTTGGTGTATCACTTGAAAGATCAAATGCTGCATTATAAATAAAAGTATCAGGTAACCAAATAAGATGTGATGGTAAACGTATACCACGAATACCTTCGTATTCTGATTGATTCCAACCAAGATTTTCATCTTTCCATTTTTGTTCAATACGTACATTTGTTGTTAATACTTGTGTTTTTTCTTCCTAACAAAATAAAACAAAATCTTCACAATAAAACATTCATATTAAATTTTACAAGTTCAAATAATTGAGTAAGTTCCATTCGAAATGAAATATTTACTATTCGTTGAGCATTAATAACTGGTCTTACACTTGGTTCATAAAATAGTAATAACTTTCTCATAAGTTGTTGCTCAGTCGTACATTCTATTAATGTTAAATAGATTAAATATATAATCAGACAAAAAAAAAAGAAGATACTTACCGACATGAGAAATAATCAACATGAACAAAAATAATAATAATAATACGAAAGTTTCACTCATATAATTACATTTGATCAATGATAATAAGCATAACGTAAAGTTCTCTTGATTGAAAGAGAATCTAATGTTATTCTTTTTCTTAGCAAACAATAGTATCGTATCTGAAAACAACTTAGACACTTCTTTCTTTCTCGCTTGTCATCTCTCTGTTGTTTTCTAGTTCCTAAGAAAGAATGAATATTTGTCGTTTTTTTTCTTTTTTCTAATTCCAAGTATGATCATCGTCATCATCATCATCATCATCATCATTCGTCACTTAGTATTAAACTACGATTCGTCAACTCTATTATATTTCTTTTTTTCTGCTTTTCTCAATCAATATTCGATGAAAATTGAAAAGACGAAGATATGAACATCTGTTTTTAGCTCGAGGGGAAAATTGCAATGAAGTGGAAATAAGAATTAGAAAGATTTATCAATTGGACTATTATCAATCTTGTTTATTCTCGTTTTATTATAACAAATAGAAAAAGAAAAACAAGACTAAATGACTTGTTGCTTTTTTTTTTCAATCACTTGTTTTTCTTAACATTCTATGATGATGCGTAATATGCATAATACTTTCATTGAATATATAGAAGGAGTACTCATCGATGATTATAGAGATGGCAAAGAAATGATAGCATAGATGTCAAGAAAAAAAAAAGAATATTTCTCGACTGCTTTGAATAGAAACTGCAAAAGAAAGAATAAGTAAATATACATTATCTTCAATGTTTCCACTCAGCATGGTTTGCATTTATAAAAATAATACTAACGATAATATTTGCAAATTCACAGTTAAATGTTTTATTGATATCTAAGTATGAAATAAAGATGATCTCTACTCATTGTAACAATTTGTTTGATTGAATTAAACCGATATTATTCTAAACATTCGATATGATTAATATAAGATTGTGATTATTTGGTAGATTTGAAAGATTATTATTCTAATGTAAATTCCTTTGATTATTATTTTCAATCGAACGTAGTCAATTTTGGATACAAGTTTAAGAAACAATTAATTATCATAAAATTTTGAAGTTAGAATTATCGGAATAAATTTTATACGAAGAACTAGTTCATAATAGCGAGTTTTTTTTTTGAACTTGTTTATATGTAATGTCATCAACTTATCGAAATAAAGTCGAAACTTATTATATTTATGCAAAATAAATACATTTTAAAGGAAAAAGTTTATAAATCTTTATATTTATGTTTATAATCTCAGTCAGAACACTATACCATAAAATCTTCTGAGAATAGAGATTTACAGGACCGAATTCTTTGTCCCGGCAAAGTGTTATTTATTGATTCTCGTTCCACACATTTCTAGTCCCAGTCGTATTGACAAATGAAAAGAGGCCGACTGCGTACATTTTCATATGGTCTCAGTAATGATTTAATTCTGAGTTCTTGGTTCCGATTCCCACATCTCTATCTCAGACACGCCTCCTTCAAAGGATGTTCGTGTATGTGAATATAACATTGCAAATCTTTCAGAAAGTAACGTCCCAAAAATTGGAAAGAATCTTCTGTGGAAATTAAAATTATCTATCATCTATTGCATTGTTTGACATTGTTTCAAATATGATATTCGGAAAAAAAAACTACTTGTTGTAATAAAATGATAAAATGTATAGAGCATGATCTACCCAGGCAGACACGATTACGGCCAAAACAGTGTTTATAAACAACTCGATATGTAACTCGTAAAAATATGTTTGATTAGCCTCTAAAAATGCGTCAAAACAGTTTAAGATTGGTTATTTTTTAACGCATTTTTTTGCGACTAATCAAACAATTTTAGTGATTTGAACAGTTTTGATGAAAACATCGAATAACAATTAACAATCATTTCGTGTACACGATGAATTGACAAAGGTCCAGATTCTGTGAGTTTTGAACGCCTGGAATTCTCAAAAGTGTAACTTCACTAACGGAACTCTGAAAGGGTGTGTCTGAGCTTCGGTTCTCTCTCTACACATATATTTTAATGTCCACAGAAAAGATTGTACTGTATACCTGCCATCTCTCGTGTTATTTCTAGATGTGACACCACTACGTTTCTTTAAAATTTGTGGGTAGGCAATGCGTGATAATGTCAGTTGCGTTTGTAATACTGAAGTTGATCTATTACCTAAATTTTAATCAATTCTTGAGTTCCATGAGTGAAGTTGCATTTTTGAGAATTCCATAAGCTTAAGACTCACGAAATCCGTACACATCTCTCTTTCAAGTAATTATCCGTAGCTGAGAAACAAAAACATAGCATTTTATTTCCTGATTCCGTAAGAACATTTCATAGAATTTCTTTTTTTAATTGCTTGAATTTTGATTTGATTTCTTTTTATGAGTGCATGTCAAAACTAATTTCTATACAACAACTGTTCGAGATTTGAACAAATTCAAGATTAGAATAATTTCAAAAATCGAAGCAATTAAACAGTGCTGCGTAATATTATTACGAAATTAGAAAAAGAGGCTAAATTCTTGGAATTCAGTTAAAGATAATTACTTTAAAGAGCAGTTCTACAATTCATCTATAGAAATAAAGCCTTGATGATGTCATCTATCATACAAAAATATTAACTAATATAGGCTAATCAATAGTGAAGTTATATGAAAAAATAGATACCGCATGGAAACTTATAGTAATTATTAGGACAAGATTGCTATCTCAGACTATCTAATTTTTTATATCCTTTTCCTCAAAAATTGAAATCTAATCTCACTTCTTACATCTTTTTTTTATCACTTTAAATATTCTATTTGGTTGAAAAAGTTCAATATTAGTTTCATATTTCTCAGATATTATGTTGCTGAGTCCTCAAATATCATTTCCAACACCCACAGACGCATAATAATGACGCAATGAATATCCTGTAGTTAGAAGATTTTATGTTCATTCTTTTTATAGTAAGAAACTTAAGTTTCATATTTAAAATCACTGACAAATTAAATTATTGGATGAACATATCTTTAAATATTACGATTTACATAAGAATTGGTTAAGGAAAAAGTGAACCACGAACTATCTAACAAGATAGTAATACTGAGAAAACTACAATTAGAATAGCAATGACTGAGAATGTTGTACTTTATTCATAGCACTAAATCTATCCTTATCTGAGTCAGTGCATACTATTAAAAATTAAAAAGAGAACTTAATCGAGAATGGTAACGATATTCTGTGGGAATTGAGAACTGTCACAATCTTCGAGTCTACTCTGAAAATGGTACTATCCTTTTTGTGAGAGTGTTTCTATTTGTTTTCTTCTTGAATGATGAGATTTTCCTGTAGCTTATTCATATGTCGAATATTTAAAATTATTTTTATAGTTATTTCAAACTCTAACTATCTCAAACAACTCATCCTATAAGCGTATTCGTAGTGAACTTTCTTCATCAAACGCTTTGACTAGAGACCAATTCCTGGAATACTGCTCTTCGAATTCTTGAGAAGTCAATCTGATTTTGGTATTTTTTTTCTATCGTACATACAGTGATCACTGTACCTTGATCGATACAAGAACTTTTCATTATCACTCACGATAAACTAAATACCTCATTCTTTCTCTCACTTTGAAAATTTTTCTTCAGAAAAGGCGTTTTGTCTGATTTTGGTATGTTTATTCTTATACACAGAATGAAGATATGTATTACTTACACTGAATCATACATTGATTTTTAGTATGAACTAAAAGTTAAACCGATAGCTAATGTAGACAGTTGTTCTATAAACAAGATAAAGCACAAATGAATACTTAAAAAAGAAAGAACAAGTAAGTAATCGAAGGAGAAAGAAAAAAAGTACTAATTTTTCTTTTTCCATTTTCATGTACTAGACGGAAACAAAAGACAGAACAAAAGTAAAAATTGTTTCGAATGTAGACAAACGATGAACTATGCTTCTATATCTGGTAAAAAGAAAAAGAGGTAAAATAAGAAACAGCTAATTATTGAAACTTAATGAAATAACTAACCTCGAAATTAATTTTTTTTTATAATTATAAGCAATAGGAAAATAGACTAATTTTGATTCTCTTCGTTGACTACACTTGCTACTCATACATATTTCCATTTTCAAAAGAGACAAAAGAAAAAGATTTTTGATAACATATTATTCAAGGTAAGAGGAACAATGTATATAGTTAATATGATATCTTAAGCTTTTCTGGACCTTTGGCCCCCTCTAAGAACTATTTTATAAAAATTTAGTTCTTTTGAACTATGAAATATATAGAAACAGATTTTATATCACCTTAAAACTTATCTATTCTGGATTTCAAACCAACAATTTGAATCTGATCTTTATCACAAAAATAATTTTTAGGATATGGATAACAGCATCACTTACTGATAATATAATAGTAATAATATGCTTTTTCAAGTTACAACTTATTTTCTGATAGTTCAAGCGAAACAAAAAAAAATATTGTTTACACGTGTTTTATCGGGAAAAAACACAAAATTACGACATTTCTAACCATTTCAGTTAGAATTTTGGAAGATAAACTGTGAAAAAGCGTGTTGAGTAAAAATTCCGTCAATAAACACGTTGACACATGGCTTAAAACGTTTTAAGCACTTGAACAAAGTGTTTAAACGCATGTCAAACCATTTATTATCTGACTGAGTAGTGATCAGAATGTAACTCGTCTTCTATTCTTTTCATTCATATGAATTCAATTCTTTCTAAACAGCTATGAAAAACAGCAACTCAATTAGAAGATCATCCAAAAATCTTCTTATGATAGACGAACGATTGTAATTATATTGATAGTTGTTTTCTTCTGATAAATAGTAAGATGCAAAAGTTCTTGCCTTTCGCATAAGCAATTTTTCTGGAAACAGATCTCGAGCTCCCTTTGGGTGGAGTTTTTGAGAACTCTATAGAAGATAACGGAAAGAATTTATATGTAATGTAAATCTCAACTCATCGTAAACATTCTTGCTTTCAAAGAAAATATTTCGACAACGAAGTCCTGTTTCGTTGAAAGCGAAGCGATGAACTATTTTACAGTGATGAAAGAATAGCAATCGATTCTCTGTCGCAACTGCTCGTATGGCAGAGATTATTCTTCGGCCTATCAAATACAATATCGCCAAGATAAAAGAAAACACGACACAGGTCATAGCAGACGCCGAGTAGTTGACCTCGTATTATCACTGTCGTTGGGTAGCAAGCCCTCGATAAGCAAATTCGATGGAAGAACGAGATAATGGCAAAAACAATTGATGACCGAGCTCAACACAAATTCTGATTGAAGATAAAACGTTTACTCTAATGGCTTGGTTACGGGAATATTTAGTCCCATGCAACACCAATGCTAACACACGGAAGCAGAAGAATGCGATTGTCAAGGGATTGATTCAACATAAAGACGAAAACTGGAGACGAAGAATGTTCACTAGCAAGACTCTCAACCAATTATTCAGAAAGATGATTCATCAATGACTAAAGAATCGAAGAGTTGACGACGTTAAGCGAATTCCGAAGAACAGAGGAAAAGTAATGATGTAAGGCGATTTCAGTGTCATGAGTAGAATTTAGTGCTTCCAAATAAAAATGAAATCGAGAATCAAACCAGAACTGGCTTTTTAATTGATAGCTCTTATTACGTTAAAACCATTGCAGATTACATCATCAAGTTCAGAAAGGAACTCTGCCTGTCTTCGGGATCGGAGTATGACAGCAATTCGAAACACAGACATTGAATAATTGAAAAATTTTTACGCAAAGAAGCACTCGGAACAACGGACTGGCCCTCAAACACTTCTGACGTTAACCCAATCAAGAATCTCTAGTTAGTTTTTCAATGATGTCGTGTTTTAGAAGCCGAAACCATCAAATTTCAATGAACGAAGCCTAGTTCTACATGAAAAATGTTACAAAATCGATTTGGCTTTTCTAAACCATTTAGTGCATTTTCTTGTAAATTCAATTTGTAATGAATAGGCGTTTTTTTTAAAAAACATGTCTGTCTATTTGTTTAAAAAGAACAAAATTCTAAACCTTTTACGATGAAATAGGATTAGACAAACGAAAGAGCAATGCCTATTGTCGATCGACAACAATTGTATAGTATAGAAAAGCTAGTCTGTTTTGCAATCATTTTCAACTTTGACGTTGATAGAGAAACAATGAATACTGTACAGAATTTTATATTATTCGTTGTTTTGGTAATTTATTGTGGTGAGTATCGAAATAAAATGCTGTGAAATATTGATGAATAGTTTTCATTTGATTAAATTTATAACTATAAAAATTAGTTAATTTCTAAGAATGAATTTATAGACGGTTTTTTTTTGCTATTGTCTATTTCTAAAAAGAAATACATTCAATAGTTTATAAGTAGATATTGATCGAAAGATAATTCTCTTTAATGTGGAAGTATACATTAGAGTTTACTTCAATTCTATCAAAATGTAATTATAAACTATTTTCATATTATTAAATTTATTTAAAAACAATTAATTGTATTAGTTTTTTTTTTCAAAATAAATTTTAACAATGCAAAATTTGATTTTTCATTTTCTCTAAGGCGCAGTTTACATATAAGTTCTTTTAAAGTAAACAATCAAAATTATAATGAGAGTAGATAAATTCCAACAGATTACATATCGATTTTTACTGTTTTATAACAAATCAGGATGATTTATATTTTAGGTTATTCTAATGGTCTGGTTTGTTATGTATGTCAAAATTGGTATGTCTTGAAATTCATATTTAAATATACTTATATCGTTATTATTTCTTTAGTGCTGATCCTGCTGATTTAAATGAATTCACAAACAATACATGTCCGGGTCCTTGTATGGTAAAAAAGAACCAAAAAACGAAATTTCTCTTCACATTTTGTTTTTTGTTCTTGTCTAGAAAATTAACACTTTCATTCCAACAATGGGTTCTTATATATATAAAGCATGTACAAAAACTTGCACGGAAAAAAAACTTTATTTTGGTTTTTCAAAATTTGAAGTTCATTGTTGTAATAATACAGATCGTTGTAATACTGGTCAACGTTCAACATTTTTTAATCATTTTACTCAACTGATTATGACATTTGCTAGTGTTACTTTTTCATTTTTACTATTTAATCGATTAACAACAATAGTCAGTATTTAATGACGAATGAATCGAACGAATGTTTTCGCTTTTCTTCTTTTTTTCTTCGTCTTTTTTTTCTTGCAGTAATTTTTTAATGTTGAATAAATACTCTTTCAATGTACGTTTGTGTCGTTGTTTTTGCTTTAAAAATCAAAGACAAACAAAAATTGAAACTGTACATTTACATTGAAAAAATAAAACTAAAATCTACATACGATGAAATCGTTAATAATAGCTATAGTTTTTGGTAGGTTTTTTTTCTAGCAAAATCTTTATCGATATTCTCGATTTTTGTTTTATACAGTTTTATTAAATTATGCTACTTGTTTTGATTGTTATGATTGTCAAAATTGTGAAATCCCTGCTAATGATCAAGCAAATACCGCAACATGTAGTTCATCTGTAACACAATGCATGGTAGGTGTTTAAAAAGTAACAACAAAACCAATCGTATTTACTTGATTTTTCTATAGAAAATAACAGCAAAATTAGGCACTGTTTATACATACGTTCTTAAACAATGTGGACCATGTTCTAATGAAACATTTGCATTTGGTGTCACTTTTGTTCAAGTTGATTGTTGTACAGGATCGAAATGTAATGGAACAAATACTTTATCATTCTCTGAATTTTCAATAATAATTTATCTTCTTTTTTTTATTATATACTTCAAATGTAAAAATGAGTAAATAAGTTTTTTAATAAATAAAAGAAAATGAGTAACTAAGGAATAATTACATTATTTTTTGTTTGTTTATATGAAAAAACTCAAAGCTCTTTGGATTGTTTTAATCATATTTTGTTCTTTAATTGTCATCGGTGGATTTTTCTATCTATTCTATAGACTCTATATTAATCATATTTACAAACGAAAACGACCATGGCATGAAATAACATTACCATTAACAAATAAATCTGTAAAGAACATTGATCAGAATTTAATTTCTCTATTACCACGACAATCGATAACACCACTTATTCAAGAATATCTTCCTTATGGATTAAAAAAATCACCAATACAAAGAAAAATGATTACTCAACTTCAATTTAATGAACCACCATTATTTATAAATAATTTTAAAGAAGAATGGGATGAAATGGATACAAAAAGTACATTATACTTGTTATTACATAAGTTTATTTAATATGATACTTTTATTTAAGGTATATTTTCATTACGATCAATATCTACTCGAACTTCATATTATACAATTAGAGAACAGACTTTTTGTGATGAATTAATTCTCGATGAAAAATCTCTTATTAAATATTCATCATTAACATCTTCAAATAAACCTATTATATCATCACCTTCATCCATTGAACAATTATCTTCTATTAGTAATTCTTCAAAACCAACATCATTACAATTAGTTTTCAAACCATGTATTAGTTTATCTAAACAATTACTTAATAATGAAAAATCTATATCAGATCAAAATAATTCATCAAATTATATTGTACTTAATATGGATAATTTTAAAGAAATAAATATATTTAATAATTTATCACACGTATAAAAATGAATATTATATTCGCTTAAGAGAATTTCTATACAACATTCTTAAAAAATATTTATATTTAACAGAGTAGATAATAGATAATCTAGAGAATATTTTATATTTTGCAATTTATAGATTATCACTCCTATGTGAGTTAAGATGAATTCGAATCGAATACGAAGAAGAAATATCAATGCGCATTAGAATATGATGGTAGAAGACATTT